GATACTTATCCAACAGAGCAACTAACCAACAAAATAAATCACAACAATGGACTATGTTAACATCATCACTAATAATGCAGTTGTTATACTCCTATATATATCTTCAATACAAACAAAGAATTAGAGATAACACAATCAAGAGACACTTTTTAACAAGAGGAGCTCATTCTACCTGTTCAATGTTATATCCTGGACTAGGATCATTTGAAAGTGTCAAAACTCGAGCAAAGCGATCCAAGCAATTCCCAACAGCAATGTCAATGGTCTCCCCAAAAATCCGATACCTCCCCTCACTATACGCGATCACTTGTGTATTACCCCCACTAACATACAGCACAACAGGATCAACCGCTCCTGTAACAATCCTCCCCATCTCAATATGAGCAACACAGTGATTAACACCAACAATCGGCTTCTTCCACAGCTGCGAAAGAACCCTTACCACAACCGCGGAAACTTGCAAGGGAGCACCCATCCCCGGGCCTTTGGTATAACACAGACAGTCAATATCATCCGGGGTTATTCCAGCCGTGGTTAGAGCAGATTTCACAAGAGGCAGGACATGTTCAAGGTGATGGTGGGCGGTTTCTCGGGGAAGAAACCCGTGTCCTGGAGGGGTAATGTAGGTGTGTCTAGGGTTCGATAAAATGGTTCCATCTAGGGTTACAACACCAACACCAATCTTATTAGCTGAACCTTCAAAACCAAGGGCAATCATTCTTTTGCTCATCTTTTACCCACAAATTGATGCCCACTAAAACCCTAAAAAAATTGAAAATTTACACAAATGAGTTCTTCATCAGATCAATCACTGATAAATTACTCCACATTAGTTCCATAATTTGCAAAATACAAACAAATTAATTGCAAGAGAATCCGGGAAAATGTTATTATTTCTTAAATAATCAATCAATCTAAGTTAACTGTTGAAACTTGAAATGATGGGTATAGCATTATAGCACTAATTTAAAGTAATTAAGTTAAAAGGATGATTCTTGAAAATGAAATTATAGTACCAAATTACAAATTCCTACAAAATGGAATGAATTAAAGAAGAGTGATAGAGAAAGTACAATACCAAATGAGTTGCACAGCACAGGAGGAGAAATTTGGCACGATAACGCTGCCGGCAAACTGAAGTGGTACAAGGTGAGGAGACTGAGGAATCAAACTACATAATTTGAAGTACAAGTAGAAGATAATAAGGTTAAGAGATTTACATTTTGTTTTGTTGACATGTTTAATTTAATACTTGTAGGTAAGAAATTCTTGACACTAACATACTTTTTCGGTATCCATTTAATGTCATGTAATATATGGGAAAAAAAAAGTATGTTTTCTATGAGGCTAGCAACATCGTATGGTCGGGGTTACTTATTTAAGGGTTACTCAATCGGTTAGGGATTATTCGGTCATGGGTTACTTGGTCGGTCAGGTCACACGATGTGGCCAACCATATAAAACTTTTGGCAAAAAATGTTAGGTTTGTTCAAAATATTTATCATTGATTTCATAATTTATTGGTTATTTTCTTAGGCGGGTTAATTTCGTGTTGGGGATCTCATCAACAACCCATCCTGTTTTGACTAAACGTCGTGTTATTTCAGAATGTCCTTTTCAAGTAAATTTGTCGAGTATTAGGAGTAACATTCAAACCTTTTAAATTATTTTTTTAACAACCTTTTAATCAATTTTAGAGTTTGATTAGTTTTTTTATTCAAGTTCATATCACTCTTATAGACTAGAAAATCGATTGCCTAAACCTAGGTAAGCAAACAACTTACTTTATTTAACTCAAGGGTTTCGTGGTGAAATATCCTTATTAATTACTCCCCTTAATCTTAAGAGTCTTATATAATAGTCCGTTAAAATACGAATCGAGTTTACCTAAATAATTATTGATATCATTGAATGCAAGACATTTTGACAGCTATAATCATCCATTACTAACAGGGGTGAATATGAGATTCTAAGTAAGTGCGGGGTGGTCGAGTTTGGAGTGTTGGAGTACAACTGAACCAGGCCATCTACAAGACCTATCAACATCATCACTTCTTGTCCATCTAGATTTAGTTGCCCCCTTACTAGTTTAAGATCAACTTGTATTTCCTCTTGATTCTAAAATGCAGGGACCTGCTAAGGGAGATGCCCTTTGAGGATCGTGGAGGCAATGTTGTAGCAAACTCTATCGCGAAAGATGCTAGATGTAACTTGGAGGCTATGCATCAAATTGGTCTTTTGTACCACTCCCCTCCATGCTGTAATGTAGCTTTTGAAAGTAAGCGATGCTCAAACTTTATCAACTGTAGTCTTGATTATGCTGGTGATGTCCCAACTTTTACTGAGGGTACGGTCATGTAATTAACCTTGGTACTACTAATTAATCCATGCCTCTTTCACTCAAAAAAAAAAAAAAAAAATCATTGCCAACACACATAATTATGTCGAGGGCTAAATTAGTTGTAATACAGTACTGCTTTTTTTTTTGTATGGTTTGTAAGCTGGCTGGGGTTGACTGTCATTTTACGACATTAAAAATTAGTGTACATGAAATAAAAATGATTACTTTATTCACAACAGATAAAATTAATTACTTGACAAATGACTTAGGGTGTGTTGTCGCGTTGAACTTAGTCCAAATTTTTATTGTATGTTCATTCAAAATCTAACTAAACTTGATCTAACCTCATTAGTTGTGAAAGTAATTTCTTAAGGTGAACAAATAAATAAAGCCTTAGCTTCATACATACAATCATCATCATATCATACATCATACACTCGAGTGTACCAATCAATCATTTCCTTCATTGTACAAATACTAAACAAAAGTAATTGTGAATGTTAAAAATTAGATTTGTACGAATATGAAAAATCAGTCCTAACTTTTGATCTTCCGATTAATTAAATTAATTGGTTTAACAGTAGCTTATGTCCACATGCAAATTTCCATGCAAAAAATTGTAATTGTGTCTTTCACACACATAAAGGAATGTACATACTACCCCCATTTCATATTATTTGCAACGATTTGACATAAATAAAGAGGAAAAATACTTAATCGTTGCAAATAATTTAGGAACATCTTTTAATATAGGAAAAAAATATATAAGAAGCTAAAAATGGAAAGAAAATACAATAAATAAACATTTATTATTCCGATTTACTTGTGAATTGTTGATAAATTTCCAACTTAATACTTAAAAAGGAAGTATATTAAATGCTTATATGCTTAGCATTACCCTTTAATACTACCTCCGTTAACTATTATTTGTAACAAAGGGGTATTATTTGTGAGATGTAAAATATTCTTTTGTTGCAAATAATAATTAACGGAGGTAGTATATAAGTATAGATAAAGTGTATATCACTTTTTTCTTACTTTTGTTATGCTTTTAAGGTGATTATTAACTCACATAATTATTTCAATTCATGTAAAGGTAAAGTAACAGTAATTTTCGGTAGATGATAATAAGGTACTCGTAGTTGGATTTGATGGTACTTTGTGTCCATCTTTTTGAACAATCTATATAGTGCCCCTTTATTTCCCAATCATGTATGTCATTCCACTTTTTTATTTTATTTTTTAATTTTTTTTTAATTTTTAATTTTTAATTTTTCCTCTTTATGTTTATGTCTTTTTTAAGCTGATTGTGTATTGTGACCCACAATTATGATTATCCATTCTAGATTTTTCTTAATATTTTTTTTAATCGAAAATTAATGTTCAATCATTAGTCTAGAATACTATAGATAACAAGAAGAAAATGACAAATTATGATTTTTTTTTTTAAACAACAAATTATGATATTATATATACTAAAATGCTTTGTAATTTTGCATATTTGAAGAGTAGAAAATGAGAACGTCTCCGGATTACAAGGAGTTGTTCATTAATTTCAACTAATAGCTTGACATATTCACACAACTTTGATCTCTAAAGAGCGAGATAATATAAAGTGTTAAATGCACTTGGTTGTACATAGAGGTAAGTACATTGAGTAATTTTTTTTGCTCATTAATAGATTCTAAAATGAGAAAAAATATCTAATAAGCTAAAAAGAGTAATGAGATCTACATTAGCCAAATAGATTAAAAATCGAACCTATAGATAAACCTAACTCTTAGGAAGCACTTGTAATTTGTAATATTTTTTGTATAATTTTGACATTCTTGTTCAAGATCGAAGAATTTCTCGGCCTCTAGTAATTTGAGTCATTAGTGGATTTAATTTTGGTATATAGTTGCATGTTGATGGTATCATCTTAATTTACCAACAAAAATTCTATTACGACTTTACGAGTAATAATAACAAAACATAAAATATTCACGTTTGTAAATACCAATGAATAAGTATTTTGGTATAGGTATAGGATATGATAATACAACACATAACTTCTTTAGTCACGTTTGCCAATGCATAAATTCAACCATTAATATCTTAATTACCGATAAGCAAAACTTATAAACAGTTGATAGTTAGAAAATATATATTGTGATGAATCTAACAACATCCCACATAATTATATTTTTTATTATATATAAAGCACAAAACTAGGTCAAAGGGGAGTACGTGAATAGTATTAAAGTCAAATCGTGTCAACTAATAACAAACGGAGGTAGCATTAACCAGAATTTCTCCTCAAGATCTACACAAAGAGAAAAAAAATAAGAATTGCATAACACTATTAACACATAATGAAGTTGGACCCTTATTGGCCTCACAAGCCCATAATAATTGTTGCATGATTAAATAAAACTAGTAGCAAACAAACAAAGCCCATAATTACAAATATAAAATGCACCAAATTTTAAGCATAAAAAAAGCGTGACGTGGGAGCAACGACTATGTAGGGAATTCTAGCCGTAATATTAAGGCTACTTGAATGAGTTGGACTATCATTGAATTTGAACAAGCACACTCAAACAACCCCATCATTATCATCCAGATTGCTACCCTAATTATTTTTTTGATTTTTAAAATATTATTTCGATATCCGACTATACGATCACATGAACAGTCATTTTAACTAATTGTTAAATACTTTCATCCTCTAATTATTTTAATTTTCGGTTTCATAACGATTATAAACATTTTGCTTATAACCCTATAACACATTTTTCAAAACTACTCATAACCTACCGAGTTCGAGACTCCTAGAACAATTAGGAGTTCTAGCGGTAATTTCAATTACAAGTACGTGATCAAGTAGGAGTGTTGCTACAATTGAACCATCTACAAGCTGTCAACATCATCACCACTTATCCTCTTTATCAACTCAATCAAATTGATTAACAACACCAAAAACACCAATAATTTCTGGGTTTTGACTTGATAATCACATGAACTTTCTCCTTAAACAAAACAAAATTCCTCTAAAAAACCCCACTAGTTTACATTTTCTCTCTCCTCACCCACCACCCCACCAAGCACCAGCTAGTTAGTTGCCCACCCTTTTCCCACTTTTTGCTCTCTTATTTTTAATCTTCAATTCCCACCAAATTTTCCCCAATTTTTTCTGGGATTTGAAGTAAAAAATATGTTTGATTTTGGGGATGATTTTGTACTAGAAAACTTCAAAATCCCATGGCTTATTTGGATTCAAATATTGGTTATGTTTCTTCTAACCCTCACAATTTTGCTCTCTTACTTTGATATTTTTGTTCTTGATTCTTCATCTACAAGCAGTTCTTCGGATTTGAAGGTTTCTTCCAGCTGTTCTCCAAGTACCCAGGTGCGAATTTCATCTGCATTCTCTCTATTTTTTGTGTGATTATATTATGTATGGTTTAGTTCTTGAGATTAAAAAAAAAAAGTTTGTGATCAATTTACATTTTTTTTTGAGTTGAATTTGAGATGTTTATGTGCTGAAATAATCTAATTTACTGGGTATTTTGTTTTGGGTTGATTATAAGTTGTTGAGATGAGATTAGCTAATTTAATTAGGTGAGAATAATCAGGGTGTTAGGAATGTTGTGGAATGATTTGTGATTGAAAATAATCCAATGCTGATTGCTGACCCTTAATTTTTGAACTGAGTTTTTGTGGAAATGTTGGATTTTGTTGGGGGTATATTGGAGAAAGATGAAGATGTGGACTTGTAGAATTTGCAAATATACAATAACAATAATTTACTGCTGTATTGATATGGGCTTCATTTTCGTGATCTCGAAACAAAGATTAATATAAATTGGTAGAGAAGGCAGTTTAGAAAAGTTGTACTATTATGATTTGTTCTTGAGGATATGAATGGGATGAGACAGGAGCTTTCTTAATTGTTTAATGGTGTAGGTTAGAGGAAATCATATGGAAGACATAATCTCAGGTTGCACATTTGATACAGCTAAACCTAGAGTCTATAAGATTCAGTATGATTTCGTGATGATCCCGACATGCCAAATATGGATTATAGTCATCCGAATCCTTCGTTTGCCCCCCTGGGATATTAATAGTAGAAGGGGGAAAAAAGGAGATGATCAACCTGATAGCCATGGAAGTAATCCTCTTGGTTGCCTGTTCTTTCATCAAATTACTAGGATGGCTAATTGTCCATTTAATAATGTTCAAGTTTGTTAATGCAACTTCCTATGTATGCAAGAGTTCTGGACTGTGATTGCTAGGTTTATCTAGAATATTATGGTATGTGCAGTCGTGCACTTCTAGTCATCAAACTCCTCTGAATCAAAGCTAATGAGCGAAATTTTCCCTTTACATTTTATTTTGAATCATAGCTAGTAACTGAACCTTCCCTCTATGTTTCTAACTATATATTTTGAACCCAAGCTAGAGACCAAACTCCCCCCCTATGTTTTTAACTCCTTTTGGAAGGAGGGGGGGGGGGGGTTAGTGGAGAAACTTGTAATTCAACTTTTGCTTTGCCGCCTTCACCTATACTTTTTATGAAGGAATTTCGTATATAACCAGGGATGAACATATATGCAATTAGATATAGGTCCTCAAAAGAGCTTATCTATATGGATTTTGTTTTTGCTTGGTTGATATTGGTCATAATAGATTTTGTCACCAGGGTTGATTAAGTGTTTCGGTAGTATATGCATTTATCACCATCTGGATTTTAATCCTAAATGTCACATGCCCTCTAAAAAAATGTGACTTATGAAATAGGCTGAATTGTTAGTTGTCATTGTGATAATTTTGATAAAGCACATTATTGTTTCCATTGTGCTCTTCCATGTGAATTCATGGACAGGCTTGCTGTGTGCTGCATGGAGACAAATTCTCCCACTTCGTCCTTGCTAGAATATACTAGTTGAAATTTCTTGGAAGTATCCTGAATGTAAACCTAGAAAGTTCAAAGTGAGCTGCTTTATGAATATCATGATTCACGCTCTGAATTCTCCTTTAATGTACTCCATATTTCTGTGGAAGTACTAAAGTACTAAGTCATTCAGTCACCTTCATACTGAGAGTCCTAGGAAATTCTTTTCACGAGTGTTAGATAGAGCCTCTTTGCTATCGTAGTGGTAAGACCATGTGCAATAAGACAACTATTCCTTTGGTTGGGAATTTCTCTCGTAGTAATTTCAATTTGACATTTGAAGATAATCAGGTAAGCTGTGACAAGTTTGAATAAAGGGTTACCAGTTTCTTTGACAGCAAAGATAAGTTCAGATTAGGTCTTATAAATTCAGATATGATGCAATTGTTCCTAAAAGAGGTTTTGAGGTGAAAGAACTTAGCCTACATCTCTTGTAAGATTTTATTATTATGAACAATGAAGTTGATACACGCTTCACCAAACAGATTTCTCCTGAGATGATAAGTAAGACCTTTGGATGAAATTCACTGCAAAAGATTAATTTTGGGAAAAGTCTTATTGGTAAAGAGAGCTTAGTTCTAGTGCTTATCTTTGGTAAAGAGTAATTGGTCGACATGTTCTGGAAGTTGGTTGGGTGAATGATAATATATCCATATGTGTGTAGTTGTTCTGTTTACATTGATTCTATTTTCTTTTCTCCAATCTCTCCTTCAAGAGATGACATGAAGGAGAGCGTTGTGTGTGTGGGGGGGGGGGGGGGGGGGGGAATTGACGGAGTGTGGTTTATCTCATAATTTTGGGGAGAAAAAGCTACGAACAGTCATACAGATATATTTAGTCTCTCTACATAAGGTTTCATAGAATTCCCAATTTCCTTGTTTGCTTTAGAATTCTGAATCTATGTAATAAATATTAAAAAAATTAGTTATATCAGCAGGTAGCTGGAAATCATGATTCCAGGAGGGAAATTACTACCACGCCTAGCAACAGAGTGAGGTGTGTCGGGGAAAGGGATTCTTCTGTGAAGGATTTACCTTCTGCCACAGTTTCAAAACGTTTCTTCCACCCATGCCGTTATTTTGATTTTGCAAAAGAAGCTTTCCTGAAATGTCTAGGTTTGGGTTCAGGATCTCACAAGTCTCTTGACGAAGAAGATGAACATGACGACTGATGCATGTAGATCTGTCACGATCACTTTTGATGTTCATGTAGTTGTAGTCTCTCATGAATGCTATAGATGTTCAAGATGAAAATCAGGAAAGTATCTTTTCACAACCGCAATTATTCTGGTGGGAATTGCTCCTTTGCATAGCAACTTAGCTGTACAGACCGGAGGGAGAGGACGAGTGCATAATCTGCATATGCTATTGACAAAATGTATAAAATTGGTGTCTTAACATCTATTTATAGAATTATAGTTGGAGTTTTGACAGGGTCACAGACTGACAGGATGTGTTAGAGAATTTATCGTCTGACCAAATTTCAGATGATTGATTTTGTAATTTCACAAAGAATTACTTCAGGCTTAGTTTTTTTTTTCTTTTTTTCCTGTGATAATAGGAGTGTAAAAATGTTGGAAACTGTGAATATCTAATTTCTTATAATGTTGTTTGCTGCAAATCTGAATTGTTCCCTGCTGGTTTCCCTTGTACAATATTTTGATTGAGGTTAATGTTGATTTGCATTCATCACCCTTTTTTTTTTTTTTTTTTTTTTTTTTTTCTTTTTTCTTTTTCTAGAAATGAATTCATCACTTTTGAACTTGATCTATACTGTTGTAGTAGTATTTTCCCTTGCCCTTGGATGGTAATAGAACTACTATAGACCTGTAGTAGTATCAACGTATCGTTCCCACCTTAAATCCGTTCATAATGGTCGTTATGTTCAAATTATTTCAGATATTTTTGACTAATATGTTCTAATACATACCCATATAGAAGTACTTTATCTATAATAGCACCCAAAAAAAAAAAATACACATCTATATTAGCAGAGCTATACCTTTGATGTTTAACATCATCTTCTATTATTAACCCATATCAACATATCATGATTATCAGCATCAAACGGTCAAACCCCTAACCCCCTAAATAGTCATTATTTTACATGAATAGCTGTAAATTGTGTATCAAACATCATATATAGACTTGTAATTTATCTCATTCGTACATAAGTCTAATACTTATCACTATATTGAAACAAAAAACAGATAAGAAAATCGACAAAAACTTCAAATAATTAGCTTTATGTTATAAAATTAGGAGAAATTTGAGAGAGATTGAGAGAGAATCGATCAGTTTTTTCTATTCCATGTATTGGGGTATATATATAAATATAATATAAATAGGGTTTGCTTAGATAAGAATATAAACCCTAGACGACCTATTTAGAATATTCTAGAATAATACAAGGAGTACAATGGGCATCCACACTATATTTCATAACACTCCCCCTTGGATGTCCATTATCGAAGATTGTGCCTCGTTAAAACCTTACTACGAAAAACCCTGTGGGATAAAAACATAGTAAAGGAAAAAGAGTACATCATTCTTCGTAATACGCTTGCAATGCTGCCTCATTAAAAACCTTACCAGGAAAACCCAATGTGGGACAAAATCATGGTGAAGGAAAAAAGAGTGCAGCGCGTATTTTCTCCCCCTGATGAATACATAACGTATTATCGCGAAATCTTCGAGTGCGATAAATCCGACGCGATATGGTTGGATAACTTCTTTCATGTAGCAGAACACCATTTCTTGATGATTGATCCTTTCACATTGAACTTGAATCTTCAAATCTTCACATGGACTTATTGAGTCATCTTTATTTCTTCATACTTGTGGAAAAAATACAAGTGTTTACCACTATTTCATTCGATAGTTTTGTTTCGAATTATCATAACAATTAGATGTATGCCTTCTTCTGGAGGTCATATATACTAAAAAATGATGATTAGTAATTGATCACATTATCCAAACATAATTTCATGGCAACACTTGATATCATATATATTTCATTTTTCAGTTTCATATGAATTAAGAAATTAAACTAATTACATATTTTGCTCATGGCTCTTCTGGACCATACGAATATTATTCTCACACAATGGTGTCTCAACTTTATTCTTTAATTAGACATTTCTAGATTGTTCCAGAAGGTTTCTAACCCATATGTATGTAGTTATTATTAGATCTATTTTTCATAATTTGTTCTCTTCAGGAGATCAATAACTCAACATCAATGGGGAGACATATAGTTGATGCAGTTAAATAAATTAGAAGAATCAAAGGAACTGTAAATCAACAAGTACTACAAACAAATAAGCTATCATAGAACACACTTACCAAGGTGAGTTACTAACTTTTAATTATAATCATACGGTCAAACCCATAATCAAATTATCAAACCCCACATAACATAACAAAACAATACGGAGTACGTCATAAATATATACGAAGTAACATGTATTAAAAGGCCATAATAAGTACTTGTATATTTTGTGAAAATAAAATTCAATATAATAAATTAAATAAGGAACTTCCCTATTAAACATAATGACTTCATGATACCTCCTGTCAAAACTCAACCAACACCGCTAATACACTAATTGCATACTAGATTTTAATCGGCTTTTCTTAGCTTAATTTTAACAGTAATTTGATTGGTGCTTAGAGCTTTGGTGATCCATAATTAATAAACAATTCATTACAAAATCATATAATACGTAAAAAGATTCATGCTATTGAAATATTTTGCAAATCAAATCAAACGATATATAACTTCACATAATTGTATCCATGATGCTAAACATGTGATAATAGTATAATACTCATTTAAAACGGACCTGATTCTCATAATAGATTAACACAATTCAATCGGGTACATAAAAGAAATTTATCAAATCACTTAGATTATATGTTCAAGAATAATTTTATTCTAATCGGAAATAATTTGTCGTGGTGCTGATAACGTGTTATAAAATTAGGAGAAATTTGAGAGAGATTGAGAGAGAATCGATCAGTTTTTTCTATTCCATATATTGGGTATATATATAAATACAATATAAATAGGGTTTGCTTAGATAAGAATATAAACCCTAAACGACCTATTTAGAATATTCTAGAATAATACAAGGAGTACAATGGGCATCCACACTATATTTCATAACACTTTAACACTTTATACAAAACAATTTTTTTTCAAAAAAAATAAATAAATAATATTGTAAATCAAAATTTTAATCTGAAGTTTATATAGCTAATGAAGCTAACAGTCAAAATTTGAATTCAAATCCTTATATTTCTGAAAAAAAAAAAAAAAATCATTAGCTGTACATAATCCATTAATTCTTCAAATAATACAGCTTAGCGAAATCTCTTAATAATCTAAAATTAGCATACTTATCAAATCAACTAATACTTTCTTCCTACTACGAGAGCCTCTCCATTGCATTGTAATGCATGCAATCAATTTAATTTCTTCACCACACAAAAATAAGGAAGAAGAAAAACCCATTACAATTTAATAAAATAACAAATAAAAATATACATATAAATGGGAAAACATAATAAACATCATATAGAAATAAAAACTTCTCAAGAAAATTTATTAGAAGAAGAATCAACAACAAAGACACCTCCTTTACAAGATTTGCAATCCTCCTTTTCCCTAGTAGAACCATCTCCTAGTAAGCACAAACAACGTAAAGAAGCGAAAACGGTTCGAGCTCTCCGGTCCATGATCCGATCATTCCCCATCATATCTCCCAAACATTGTAGATTACCTGATATAAACTTCCTTAGCAATGGTGGTACGAGTAATCGTGTCACGGGCACGTTGTTCGGGTATAAGAAAGGGAAGATGAGCTTTTCCTTACAACAATCTACCAAGTGTTTGCCAACGTTGGTGTTGGATCTACCTATACAAACGCACGTCCTTCAAAAGGATATGAGCATAGGGATGGTTAGGATCGCCCTTGAATGCGAAAAAAAGGATGAAAAGGGGAGGAAGGGTTTGTTAGAAGAGCCTATTTGGGACATGTTTTGCAATGGTAAGAAGTTTGGTTACGCGGTTAAGAGGGATGCTAATGAGATGGATTTGAGCATAATGGAGCTTCTTAAGGTGACTACAATGGGCGTGGGTGTGTTGCCCTTGTCGGAGTTTTGTGATGGTGATGATCCAGACGACGAATTGGCCTATATTCGCGCTAACTTTGATTATGTTGTAGGCTCCAAGGACTCGGAGACCTTGTATATGTTGTGTCCGGAAGGGAACATTGTTCTTGATCTTAGTATATTCTTTGTAAGGATTTGAGGTTGCATTGTATTTACATATGGTGTTGGTTATTAAGGAGGATCATGTTAAAATTCGAGGTCATTGAATTGGGGAGATATTAGATACAATTTCGAGCATTGATTGCAATGTGGGCTTGTGAATGAGGTCCTTAAGATCGTAACGTGCACTGACTAGGAACATTAACCATTTTTGTGCTCTCGAGTGCATATAGTAAGTAATGTTTCCCATTTAACCATTTAATTTGAGTGTAATTTAAGATGTATATGTACCTATATTATGTACAAGAAACCAACCAGATGTGGCAAATAAGTTGTTCCATCATCTAGTTTGGGTTTGGTTAGGTCAATTCAAGTAGGATTGTATATGAGTAAGGTTACTACGTTAAGGTTCATGTGTGGCAAAGCAATTCGAGTTGGGTACTCTATTGTCAATTAAATAAATCAAGTCATATTTCGAGGTGAGTTGAGTTGAGTTGGCTTGAGTTCGGGTCAATTTTAAGCTATCAAGAATCAAAGACAAATTGGTTGCCAAAGGTTGTATTTGAGAGTGTGAGATGCCATCTAGCAAGTAAGAATTATGATTGAATAGCTTTGAAGTCTTGGCCTGATGACAAAATCTCTTGTAAATTGAATATAATATCATGAATGTTCATGATTGTATAATATTTATAATCAACTCATCCCTGAAATACCAGATCATCTATTTGCCTATTGTCTGCTTCTTTCTGATCTGTCTCCTCAACTAAACCTTAAAAAACAAAATTTTAATTTTGTCTCCTTTCTATATGAATGTGACAATAATAGACCAATTAATCTAATAGAGAAGTAGTATTTGGTTACCTTGCTTGATTTTAACTTGTTCATCTAGTTGTGGTTGGTGGATAATGGAAAAGATGAAATCCATGTTATTTACTTTGTACATTCACTACTCTAGTTAGTATTGTATGAGATTGGAAATACGGTGAGATAGATATAAGTTATTAGATATTTCATATAATTAAACTTCATTAGCAAAAGATTAGCTTGCATAACATCAATTTCTTGTATGAGATAGTTCACTTGGTAACTATTTATATTGGTATTGATGACTTTATTCTACATAGGGTCGTGTGACTTTCAAAAGTTATCTGAAGGTAAGTTTAATTAGCAGTTTTATCCAAAAAAAATTATTCTAATTACGAATTTGTGTAACCATTTTAGTGGACGCCTCTTGTACTATTTGTTATAGACCTACAATCATTAAACATCATTAAGACCATGTTTAGACAGAGAAAAATGGAGGGAAAGGAGGAGAAAAGAAAAAATGCATCATTTGTATGGCGGATACCTAATTCAAGGAGGGAAGGAGAGGGAATTATGAGGATCCACTTCCCTTCTCATTTTAATAAACCAAATCTCTCCATTATTAGAGCTGACTTGAAGAGATTTAGAACGAAAATGAAAGATCACTTTCTCCCTCTCACACCTCCCTTTCCCTCGCTCTCTTACCCTTCATTAATGTTATGCAAACATAGAGTTAATTTCTTGATTAATTATATATATCGAAGTTGAGGACTTGAGGTAATGAGGTGCACATAATTTAAGTTACTACATGCATAATGCATGGATTTGAATAGTGTGGGACATTCAGTGGCGGAGCCACTATAGGTCCTGGTAGGGCACGTGCCCTACCAGATTTTTTTTTTCTTAAAAAAAAAGTTACTAAAAATGTATTTAAAAAGAATACAAAGTGTATAATGTCATTTAAACTTCCTGCAGCTTAGTGGTTGGAAACAGGGAACATAAAGCCGTACTTTGTTTTTCCCAAAGTCACGGGTTCTAATCCCTTACCCAACATTTATTTTTTTTATAATTTTCTTAGTGTCCTTTTTTTAATGTAGATGTGTTTATTTTTTTTTTTTCTGGCTTATTGTCCTATTGTAGTACGTAGATGTGTCATGAGTTTTTTTTTTTTTTTTTTTTTTTGAAAAAAATTTTAAGAGCATGATAAAAGTGTTTTAGTATTAGGTGCCCTACCATTGTTAAAATCTTGGCTCCGCCACTGCATATAATGGGTGACTTATCTAGTGATGAATTAGGAACGACTTGGTTGAAAGCTGACCTCATGAGTCATGACCTAGCTATTTGGATATAATCTTTGCTGGACCATTTAATAGTACTATCTCCTTTCCTACTACAAAGAATACCTCACGTTCATGTACTATGTACAAGCAAATAAAATCAATTAAATTGAAAAAATTATTAATTTTTTCCTTAAAAAAACTAAAATATAGAATTCGGAAGCTAGAAAAGTACTTTCTGATTTTCTATTTGCCAATGACATGTGAAAAATGAGACAAAAACGATAAAATACAAAGTAACAAAAATTGAAAAGATAGTATGTAGTTGAAATTGATAAGATAGATGATTACAGATTACTTGAGTTGTGTGATAAAATCAGTTGCTTAAGATGACACATACAAAAATTTCAGGTTTTATAACTTTATTCATTTCAACACCTCAAATTCAACTGTTTATACAATGCTTGCTAAATAACTCTATAAATTTGATAAGGTGCTCAAAAGTCGAAATGTGTCATCAAGCATAATCTTAGTTTCTATCATAAATACAATTGATTAATTATAAAATCGAGATTGAAAAATCAACCAATATATCCTATAAATGTTTTAAATAATTTAATAAGTTGAAAGGAGATGCATAATAAAGTTATGATCTTACACCAATTAAATTGAATTTTCATTTCAACCACCCTTCCTCCACATCAAATCATATTTTCTAACCTACCACACTCACATAACCTTCAAATTTGACCTTTTCCTCCTTTCAAATAAAATAAACCATCACATAAAATACTAATATTAGAAGAACATACTAAAGAGTTTTAGTACACAAATAAAAAAAAAGCCTACCTTAATTACTTTTCTCTTGTCCTATGCCACCCCTTTTAATATCATTGTCCCACCACAATTATTCCACAACCTTTGAAAGCAACATTAGACCCCAATAATAGTAAGCACGTAGCCAATCTTAACCCCTCATACTTCTTACCCTTACGTGTATACTTTCTATTCCTCCCAAAATCCCTTCATATTACCCACTTAAAACAAACAAAATAATATAACCTAATACAATCTAGCTTCACTACCCTCTTCTAAACATAAAGATTCCTCTTTTTTGTTTTTGTTTTCTCAAGTTTTCTTCCAAAAGATGGCTTCTATGGTCTCGACGCGTGTAGTGCACTGCGAGCTGCAGACGTCTAGGCAGGCCCCAGTGAGATTGGGGCCTGACTCGACGAGCAGTCCTGACCAGGCTAAGATTATTCTACAACCAAGGTTGTGTACCCTTAGATCGTATGCTTCTGATCGTGGTAGCGGGGTGATCAAGACGATTGTCACTAAATCGAAGGACGGTAGTGGTGGTTTTGATGTTGATGGGATTGACCAAGGAGAAGAGTTATTATTGTCTCCGTTTTTGGCGAATTTGTATGAGTATATTGAAAGTAGTAAGAAGAGTCAAGACTTTGAGATTATCACCGGTCGAATTGCTATGGTACATACTTATTTTGCTGTTCTTATAAACCTTCTCTTTTAACATGATTGTTTTGGATTTATTTCAGCTTAGCTTATAAATCAAGTATGAACTTTTAACAGAAACGAAACAGTGGAACATGAAAAAATCAAAGCAAGATGTAGTACGTAAAACTAATCAATTACGTAGTATATTTGTCACTTTTGTTAGGTTAGTAGGTTTTGGTATAATCAGACAAGGTTAAAAGTTTAAAACATTATTGTTTACGATCTTCCTGAGCAATCAGCAAGAATTTTACGAAATAACACTTTATGACTCCGTCCCAAAATATTATTCCTCATAGGCTCGTAATCTATTTGTCTTCCCATATACATATATTTCCAATAACATACCTTGACTAACAGTAGTCAATTATATTGACCATATACAAAGCGTATAGGAAAATTATTTTCGGACAAAAAGAGCACCGAATTAATATTTAATGTGGTGATTTTACGGATTAAGAAAAAAAAAATCAACTAATAGCCCTACTTTGATAACTTGATTGTTATCGGGTGTATAGAAGGAAAATAAGGAAGGATGATTCAAGGGATAAATTATTAAGGGGACCATTTGAGATGCTTACGCATTTGAAAGGATGACTTCCAATCGGATAGTTATCGTTTAAAAGTGATAAAAATTTAGACAAATCAACAAAAAAAAAATAATGTCTAGCTATTTGACAAAAAAGGTGTATATACTTGCATAAATGTGGTCCATTGAAGAGGAAATGTCATTCAAAGGAATCAAAGGTAAAGATAAAGATGGGACACTCATAGGAGAAATGTTTTTTTACAGAAAGATGTGTTTATTATTAGAAATAATTGAAGTATTAATGTAGGTAGTATTTTCAGTTTAAGTTCGAGTTTCTAATAATTCTTTAGTTGAGACGTATCAAATAAAGTAATGTGACTTTTTATTAAGGAACAGTGAGGTACGACTTAAAACTTTTTTTACAAACAAAGTCAAAAGTGTGATGACACTAATTAAAGTCGTGTTTTTGTTTTTAGATAGTGTTTGCTGCAACAATTGGTGTGGAGTTAGCAACAGGCAACTCTGTCTTTAAGAAAATGGACGTGGAAGGGATAACTGAAGGCTTAGGGGCGTGTATGGCAGCAGTGGGTTGCGCCGCGGCTTTTGCTTATTCCTACAATGCGCGGAAGAGGGTAGGTCGTATCTTCAGTGTCAGCTGCAACGCCTTCATCGATGCTCTCATAGACAACATCGTTGATGGCTTGTTCTATGAGAATGATGAAGTTGAACAATCCAAAGACAACCTATGAACAAAGAATGTGCAATGAACCTCAATCAAGTTTTTTATAATTCAATCAATACTTTAAATATATGTATAGTCATATAGATTTATACAATTATATGTATAAGTAGCTAGTATGAATGTATATATAGGGTTCATATATAGCTAGTAAAGTTAGATATGATACAGTCTTATACGAAGTGGTATATATATGGATTATGATTGACCAAATTATAGAATTTACTAAGTTAGAAGCGTGATGTAAGTGTAACAAGTATATGTTAGAAGTCTATAGTCATGTACTTCTATACTCTATTAATTACTTCGGTGTTGTATTCCTTTTGGCATTTACAAATACATTTAAGGTAAATCTAATCGATTGCTCACTATTGTTAGAGTTATTGTTAAGATAATTGTGTAAATAATTAGCTTAGTCAAACTGTATAGTTTGTTTCCTAGTTTATAGGATATGTTTAATATTGTTTCCTTGATATTAGCCTAGGATTATGCCTAGATGATATGATGTATGTTTGTATAAATATGGTTGAGCAATGAGGAAGCAATTCACGGAAAGTATTCTTTCATGGTATCAGTAGACTAGGGCGATTCTCTTCCGCTGCACCCTAGCTCTCGTTTCCGCCCTCTTTCTTCATCTTCTTCTTCTTCTCCTCACCTCTTCTCTGCTTCTTTCAATGGGGGAATCCAAGTCCTCGTTTCACCCCGCACTCACTGTGAACAACATCAAGAGCTCTATCCCGGTTGTTCTTGAATTTGATAACTCACAATATTTCACTTGGGCGGAACTTTTCAAACTTCACGCACGTTCTAAGGGGGCTCTGGATCATATTATTCCTCCTAAGTCTACGGACGATGGGAAGGAAACAACTCCTTTAACGGCTGCGGCGAAGGAATTATGGTCTACTTTGGATGCTGCCATCGTGGGTTGGATCTATTCCACAATTTCCAACGACCTTTTGCAGACCATAATGGAACCTGATGCTACGACCATGGAGGTTTGGGCTCGGTTGCGTGACATCTTCCAGGACAACCAAAACTCTCGTGCCGTCACTTTAGAGCAAGAATTCTCTTCTACAAAAATGGAGGATTTTCCCAATGTATCGGCATATTGTCAAAGGCTCAAGGGTCTTTCCGATCAATTGAGGAATGTTGGAGCACCGGTGGATAATAATCGATTGGTTCTTCAATTAGTTTCGGGTCTCACCGAAGCCTATAAGGGTGTTGGTACTCTTATCAGACAAAGCTCTCCCCTTCCTCTGTTTTATCAGGCTCGTTCTATGCTCACGCTAGAGGAGGCGGGTCTCATGAAACAGGCTGCACTCAGTTCGGCATCGGCAATGGTGGTTACTTCTCGTGATTCGGATGACGGGTATGATAATTCGGGTGGTTCTCGTGGCCGAAATAACTCACCAAAAACCTCAGGTGGCCGAAAACAAAACGGTGGCAAGGCCGGCAAATCTGGTGGCAAAGGTGGAAAAACAGGGGGCACCGGTGGTCGGGGTGGCGCTGGCCAACAGCCGCAGCAGCAGCCGCCACCTCACTGGCAGCAACAGCAGTGGCCGCAAAAACAGCAGTGGCCGCAGTTCCCTGGTTGGGTGTGGGCTCCTCAGTGGGCCGCTCCTCCATGCCCATACCCTAACCAAGGGTGGGCTCGTCCTCAAGGCCCAACTCGGCAGTCCGGTATCTTAGGGCCTCGTCCTCACCAAGCTTATGCTGCTTCAAATCAGTCCGGTCAGTACACTCCAACGGATATCGAATCAGCAATGCATACTATGACTTTGAGCCAACCCGATCCTTCGTGGTACATGGACACCAGAGCCACCTCTCACATGACATCCTCCAACGGTAATCTCTCTTCTTATTTTAATTTGAGCAATCATCCTAATAATATTGTTGTTGGAAGTGGTCATACTATTCCTATTCTTGGTTGTGGTCGTACTACCCTCTCCTCCCCGCACCCTCCTTTATCTCTCCATAGTGTCCTTCATGCTCCCAAACTCATTAAAAATCTTATTTCAGTTCGCAAATTTACCGTAGATAATAATGTGACTGTTGAGTTTGACCCTTATGGTTTCTTTGTGAAGGATTATCGGACGGGGATGCCCATAATGAGATGTAATAGCACACCACTTCCACCAATATTTCCTCTCCCTCGGGTTTTGCAGCTTTAGCTCCTTCTCTTTGGCATGATCGTTTAGGTCATCCCGGGTCGAGTATTTTAAATGCTCTTCGAAGTAATAAAAATATTCTATGTAATCGAACTACTAGTTCTAGCATTTGTCATTCTTGTGTTCTTGGGAAGCACATTAAGTTGCCATTTTATTCTTCTATGTCATCTACTACTTTGCCGTTTGATATAATACATAGTGATCTTTGGACTTCTCCTGTTTTGAGTTTTTCGGGACATCGTTTTTATTTGCTCATTTTGGATGATTTCACTAATTTTGTGTGGACTTTTCCCTTGGCTAAGAAATCGGATGTATTTGATAATTTTTTAGTTTTTCAATCTCTTATTCGCACACAATTTGAGCGTCCTATCAAAAATATCCAATGTGACAATGGGCGGGAGTATGATAATAGTTCTTTTTTGCAATTTTGTGAATCAAATGGGTTGTCTTTCCGTCTTTCTTGTCCTCATACCTCTTCACAAAATGGTAAAGCCGAAAGAAAATTAAGATCACTAAATAATATCACTCGCACTCTCCTCTCTCATGCCTCTTTACCTCCTTCGTTTTGGCATCATGCCTTACAAATGGCGACTTATTTGCATAACATTTTACCTAGCAAGTTGTTAGGACACAAGTCCCCTCTTAGTGTTCTATATCATAGGGAGCCTACATATTCTCACTTACGGGTTTTTGGGTGTCTTTGCTATCCTCTTATTCCTTCTACCAAAATAAATAAGCTCCAATCCCGTTCTACTCCTTGTGTGTTTTTGGGATTCCCTCCGAACCATAGAGGCTATAAATGTTATGATTTTTCTTCCAACAAAATCATCATATGTCATCATGTGTTATTTGATGAAACTAATTTTCCATTTGCTAAGCTGCATACCCCTACTGCCTCAACTTATGATTTCTTAGATGAAGGCCTCTCTCCATATCTTATTAATCATTTGCAGGTTGCTTCCCCTTCTCCTGTTGGGCCAACCGTCCAAACCAGCCCAACCCCATTATCTCCTCTTCCCTCCTCTCCTGCTGTTGGGCCGAATGCACCCACCAGCCCACCTCCAAACTCCTCTCCACTTTCCCCGCTTCACCAAACGGCTTCCCCACATGAGTCTGGGCCGAGTTCCCCAACTAACCCACAAACACAACCTCAGCCCACTCCTTCCCAGCAGGCCGTGCAGCCCACTCCCACCATTATTCCTAACCCCACCACTCGTCCAACAATGGTAACTCGTAGTCAACATGGTATTTTCAAGCCAAATAAAAAATATTGCAATGTTGCTACGGTTTCTAAGGTTACGAAGTCCCCTATTCCTCGTAGCCCAATAGAAGCTCTACGTGACCCTAATTGGAAAATGGCTATGGATGATGAATTTAATGCTCTTATTAAAAATAAGACGTGGGAGTTGGTGCCCCGTCCACCTAATGTTAATGTCATTCGTTCTATGTGGATTTTTACTCATAAGGTGAAATCTGACGGTTCTTTTGAGAGGCATAAGGCCCGTCTTGTAGGTGATGGCAAAACTCAACAGGTGGGCATTGATTGTGGAGAAACTTTTAGTCCGGTGGTCAAGCCTGCGACTATTCGGACAGTTCTTAGCCTAGCTTTATCAAAAGCTTGGCCAATTCATCAGTTGGATGTCAAGAATGCTTTTTTACATGGGGAGCTTAAGGAGACAGTATATATGCATCAACCAGTGGGTTTTCGTGACAGGGATAATCCAGAGTATGTATGCTTGTTAAAAGGATCATTATATGGCCTCAAGCAAGCACCCCGGGCATGGTATAAAAGGTTTGCTGATTATATGTTTTCTATTGGTTTTGTCAACAGCAAGTCGGATAATTCCTTATTTATTTATCGGTCAGGGTCACAAACGGCTTATCTTTTGTTATATGTGGATGACATAATATTGACAGCTTCTTCTCATGCTCTCCGGTTATCTATTATGTCACTTCTTGGCTCCGAATTTGCAATGAAGGATTTAGGTCCTTTAAATTATTTTCTTGGCATCGCCGTCACTCGCCACAAAGGTGGTCTTTTTTTGTCTCAACGCAAGTATGCCGAGGACATCATTGAGAGGGCCGGAATGTCGACTTGTAAGCCTTCGGCCACACCAGTTGACACCAAGCCCAAGGTAGGTGCGTCGAGCACTCCATATGCTAACCCGAGCCACTATCGCAGCCTAGCAGGGGCATTGCAATATCTGACATTCACGAGGCCCGACTTATCATACGCAGTCCAGCAAGTTTGTTTGCATATGCACGACCCTAAGGACTGTCATATGGCTGCTCTTAAGCGAATAATTCGCTATGTACAAGGTACTAAGGATCACGAGCTGCACCTTTATCCATCATCTACCTTGTCTCTTGTCTCCTACACCGATGCGGATTGGGGGGGTTGCCCCGATACAAGGCGTTCAACATCGGGATATTGTGTTTATTTAGGGGATAATTTGGTATCTTGGTCTTCCAAACGCCAAGCTACACTATCAAAGTCAAGTTGTGAAGCCGAGTATAGGGGAGTTGCAAATGTGGTATCCGAATGTTGTTGGCTTCGAAACTTGCTGCTTGAATTGCATTGTCCATTAAAGAAGGCAACTTTAGTATATTGTGACAATGTAAGCGCCATATATCTCTCGGGAAATCCGGTACACCATCAAAGGACTAAACATATTGAAATGGATATCCTCTTTGTGCGAGAGAAGGTTGCGCGTGGTGATGTACGAGTGCTTTATGTTCCGTCTCGGCATCAAATAGCGGACATCTTTAATAAGAGACTTCCACGTATTTTATTTGAGGATTTTCGGGATAGTCTCAGCGCCCGTGTCCCTCCCGTTTCGACAACGGGGGTGTGTTAAGATAATTATGTAAATAATTAGCTTAGTCAAATTGTATAGTTTGTTTCCTAGTTTATAGGATATGTTTAATATTGTTTCCTTGATATTAGCCTAGGATTATGCCTAGATGATATGATGTATGTTTGTATAAATATGGTTGAGAAATGAGGAAGCAATTCACGGAAAGTATTCTTTCAGTTATTTACACCCTAATAGTAGTAATAGGTAAGTGGGTAGAGCCCTTACTCCCTTAGAAGGGTGGTGCTAGCTAGTTAAGCCAAAGCTTAGCTTGGACATTATATTTCATATTAAAAATAAGAGTTCGAGTGTTCAACTTATTAAATGTAGTACTTTGTAATGTTCAAGTAAACAAAAATATGAGATAAAACATTATGAAATTATGGTTATTGGCTATTGCTTTTGCTAGCCTTAAGGTAGAGTTCAGCTTGAGCAATTTGGATAAGAATTACCTATTTTAGGGTAAGAAAAAAAAATTCCAATAGCTACAACTCAACATATATGTATGGCACACTTGTAACTTTTTTTTTTTTAATTTCATGTGCCAAAATGCTAAATTTAACTAATTTAAGTATGATTACATTAGTATAGAGTCATTATCAACTCGAAATATAACATAAAGTTCAAATTTTAGTCATCAAGACATCAACATAACAAATTGAATCAAATCAACCTTTTGCTCATTTAAATTCTAATCCGTCCACAAGTTAATAGCACTCTTCCCACCCCCTTCCCCCATTGAAGCACCACACACATACGAAGCACAAGCTTACAGATTTTCAAGATACGAAGTAAGTTTTAAGAATAATACTCGAGATATAAGATTAAGTCTTGTTTAAATTATTTTCATACCTTCTGTGACTCTCTCTACACTATAATAAAAAAACTTAATTTTTTGAACGAAGCAATTCCAATCTAGGTAGGGGTGCCATAGCGGGAAGATCCACCGCACAAACACTTCCTTTACGGTTACACTAACAAACAATTTACCGAGTTGTGACTCGATTGTGTGACTCACTACTGTGACTGATCAAGATATTCTGTAACACTTCCATTCATACAAATTCTCTCTCCTCCTCCAATTCCACCCTAACAATGGCGATTTCGATAACAATGGCGTCTCTCAACTCTCTCTCTTTCCTTCCATCTTCATTCATTCCTTCCAAACCTAACCTCATTTTCACCTCTTCACTTTCTCTCTCCTCCGCTGTCTCCTCCTCGCACATTACCTCCGTCGCCGCCGTATCTACCGCCTCCGTCACCGCTACCTCCGTCGGCGAGGATCTTCCGGTTGATTACGACGAGTTTTTGCCGGAGTCGTCTCCGTCGGACCGGCGAAGAGCTGGAATTCTACTGCATCCGACGTCGTTGCCTGGACCTCACGGCATTGGCGATCTCGGAGACGAAGCTTTTAGGTTCATCGATTGGCTTCATTCTGCTGGTTGTTCTCTTTGGCAGGTGGTTTTAATTTTGATAATTTTGTAGTTTTTTGAGATGAAATTGTGGTTTTAATTTGGTAGTTTTTTGAATTGATTGCTGGAAATTTGGTGGCAGGTTTTACCTCTGGTTCCTCCTGGTAGAAAGGCTAATGAAGAAGGCTCGCCGTATTCCGGCCAGGTCTATTTCTTTCCTTTTTGTTTCTCTGATTGATTTTGCAGAATGATATATGGCATTGTTGTGAAATGATTCAATTTTCATTAATCATAATCGCCAAATTATAATACATTGTTTTATCCTTTCGAAAGTTGGCTACATTGCTTAGGATGATATAAACTTGGACATGTTTCCCACCCGAATGACAAACTTTTGTATATAATAGTTGCCAAATGATACTTATTGATTTGGAGCCTTGGAGGCCAGATATTGTTAGGAATCAGATGTGTATTCTACCAGTATAATTAGCTTGTTTGGCATGTTTTCAGTTTCCTGTTTTTTTTTTTTTTTAAAGAAAAGGATGTTTTCACTTTTCTGCTGTCAGTTTTCAAAATTATTATGATTATAATAAATTTGATTAATTTTTGATCCATTATGTGACATATATCATATGATTTAAAAAAAAAAAAAAAAAAAAAGACAGAATACCACGACGACACTAAATGAAACCGTAAGAGTCTTGGTTTTTAAAAATTAGAACCCAAAAACTTACAAGTTTTGACTTGGTATAAAGGACCAGTAAGGATAGATATTTGACTTTTGTCTAAACATCCTGAGGAGAGAATTTTAAGGCTGTTCCTCGGAAAGATAGATGTCAATGTTCAATTTCTGATTTGGTATTAAGGATCAAATTGCTGAATGCTATATTGTTGTAGTGAACTTGTCATACTTTCTCACCGACCAAAGTATATTCACATTGTTTCTTACTTTCATAATTTTTGTACATTGCCTAAGAAGACATAAACTTGGACATGTTTGTGTTTGTGACCATTGTTACAAACTTGATACTCTGCAACTCATAAAGCGAAATTTTGTTTTTGTGGTTGCCAAATAATTTATGTTGGAGCCTTGGAGGTTCAAGATTGTGGTCTAGTTCAAACTGCAAAATATAAAGTTTGATTATTTAATCATTATTCAATATAATGTCTATATTGTACTCTGTAATACATAAATTTATTAATCATTATTCATTAGTCAAACTGTGTGTGTCAATGTTTATTTGGGTGTAAATTACATTCAAAATTAGATTTTATTGTAATCGCTGTGTAGAAGCATGAAAAAGTTGGGCATCACTTTTATATTCTTAAGGCTCATTTGGCCTTCCAAGCTTCTAGTCAAAATATAAAAGACATTGAATTAATGTTAGAATGCTCGAATTCAGGATGCCAATTGTGGAAATACTCTTCTGATTTCTCTTGAAGAGCTGGTTAAGGATGGTTTATTGCATAGCGAAGAGCTCCCTGAACCTGTGTAAGCCTCATTACACCACTCATAAATCACTGCTTCTTATCCTATTTTATGTTAGCTGCACTTATATCCTGTATCTTTTTTAATTAAGTCATTTCTTAAATTGTAGAGATGCAGAGAGGGTAAATTATGATACTATTGCTCAGATAAAGGATCCTTTGGTGGCAAAGGTGAGTCTCTCCTCTTTGTAATTTGAACTTTGTTTCTACCTTTACTTTATTCACTTATGTTTTTTTAAAGAGAGACTGTTTTATATTGTCTTGGTGTGGTTAATTCTTTGTACCTGACATGAGGTTCAAGACTGTTAGTAACTCATAATCATAATGCTGTAGCCTTATATCTCAGCATACACCTTACTGTGTTTAAATTTCAAGCAACATCACTTTTACATCAGAATCAATTAATCTCTCTAGATTTGCTGGTGGTTCTTCTAATATGATGGCTACAAAATGCTGTTATGGTGGGTGCAAATTCAAGTTAGAAGATTCTTGTGAACCATTAAATCAAAAGGTGCATTTTGTGATGGTTTAGATTGTTTTTCAGATTGAAACATTTGACTGACCTCCTCCCCACTTTCTTTCCGATTTCAGCAAAGGTCATGCACCTTTCTATCAATCAAAGCCTCAATGCACCTTTAATTTCATAAAATACTCCTCTTCTTCTATGTTTAATAATGCTCATCCATAGTAGTTTTCTACTTGTGGAGAACTTGAACATGTGAGGGTCGTTTTTTTTTGGTAAGATTTAATGGCTTTCTCTAGTCTCCTATAAATAAGTTTCAGAGTTTTTATTTATTGAGTATTCATTCAAAGACCTGGGGGCTTAATATGGGAATTAGCTTGGTAGACCTCTTAATTAAGTGTGTATTATCGGTTCTCAACTTTCTTCGTATAGATGCTGTAATTTTTTCTAGATTAGATGCTTTTTCTTTGGCTTTCTTCTGAAACACTTGTAATTGTTGGTAAGAGAATCAAATGACGTTTATACTTTTGAGAGTTGTTGCATAGGGTTTGGGATTTTAACCTGTAAGCTTTGTCACTGGTTTTACAAGATTCTCACCTAGCCTTCTCACCATCTGATACATGGTACCTTCTCTGAAACCTGTAAGCTATGTCACTTTTCATGTATTCTTTTGTAAACAGAAGATCAAAGTGTACTAAATAATACGAAAAATAAAATTTGATTAAGAAAAGATTGAATCATGAACTAAGCGTAGATTGAGTCATGAATTAAACGTATAATGTTAATTCCATGTAATGCCCAGGTTCAAAGAGGGAAAGACTAGTTTAATACTTCATATTAGAACTTGTTCCAGCTGTCACTTTTTACATTAAATGCTTGAGCTTAACTGTTGCATATGTTATTTTACTTTGTTTTGAGGAGTAAATATTCTGGGTTTCAACTTTGGATTAATATCGGTTAATAGCACCTTCTTTGCTAGGCTGCGGAGCGACTTATTATGAGTGAAGGGGAACTCAAAAGGCAGCTTCTAAATTTTCGAAGGGATCCTGATATATCAAGTAAGTTACGCCCACAAATTTGCACATTTTTTTTAATTTTTTTTTTTATTCTTGCTGTGTTCTAAAATATGTAGGCTGACTGACTGAATCATGGTCTGTTGTATTTTCATTTCCGAGATAGAGTTGTGAATTAGCTAACAAATATATTCTTCATCCATGATCCTGGATACAGTGTGTGCAATGCTAATTTTGCTGAAATCTCTGTTGATAATGTTCACCTTTCCACTACTGCACAGGCTGGCTTGAGGATGCAGCATGTTTTGCTGCAATTGACCGAGTTTGTAACACATTTTCTTGGTATGATTGGCCTGAACCTTTAAAAAATCGCCATCTCTCTGCACTTGTGAAAATTTATGAGAGCGAAAAACACTTTGTAAGATTTGATACAAGTTATGCTCTTTTGTTAAAATGTATTTGATGTATTATTTATTGATAAAGTACTCATACTCTCAGTTGGACAGATTGACTTATTCATCGCCCAGCAGTTTCTGTTTCAAAGACAATGGAAGAAAGTTCGTAATTATGCACAGCTGAAGGGCATCAAGATCATGGGGGATATGCCAATCTATGTTGGCTATCACAGTGCAGATGTTTGGGCTAACAAAAAACACTTTTTGCTGGTTAGCTTCAATTTGATTAAATGGTATGTTGATTCTGCATATTGTATGAAGTGTTTGTTTCAGCATTTGGTGTTATTTGTTTTTTTCTGCAGAACAGGAAGGGCTTCCCTCTGTTAGTCAGTGGAGTTCCTCCTGATGCATTTAGTGAAACTGGTCAGTTATGGGACAGGTTGGTAACTCTACACCTGAGAATTTCGGGGTCTTAAATCCTTCATGTTTGATTTATTCACTTTTCACAATTTTGTATAAGTTATTTGAGTAAACTGATGTATCCCTCCTTCTGAAACTTGGGATGCTGCTGAGGATGGTCTGTTTTTACGACTTCCTTTTTTTTTTTTTTGTGCTTTTTTGATCGGTTAGCTTAGGTGTGGTGAATTGGTGATGGATTCCTTGGCTTTGTATGGCAAAGCTGGGTATATTGAGAGAGTTTATGTGAATCAAGGATTAATATTATTGGTCTTTCCTTAAGGCCCTGTGTAACGATGTTCTCTGACTCGTCAAAATTAAAAATATAAAAAATAAAAAATAAATAAAAAAGGAAGGGGGGAGGAGGTAGGGATTTTGTGTACCAAGCTATCAACGATCTGATGCAGTATAAAACCTATGTAGAGTCAGAATTTGGGAAGAAATATTTGGCGCTTATACTTCCGCCTTTATGCATCGTACCATCGCCAATTGGCTAAAAGTCTGTCAGTTTTAGCTCATTTTGGATATACATAGATCTGTAAATGGATGCATTAATTGATGAGGATCGATATTCCAGTGACCTGTTTGTTATGAGGCAGTAAAGTATTTGTAATGTATATGTAATTTTAAGATAAGTACCATGGAATTGAACCTCCCAAGCGTGTGTTTTACTTCTTAAATTTTCATTATCGCACTTTTCCAAGCATAGTAATGGAATTTCTGATGATTGAGAGCTTTGGGGGTGGAAACATTGACATATAGACATTGGCGTGAGGATCTCCTCACCAAATAACGCTGTAATTTTATTATTAATATCATCATCTACCTCCTAACAAATGGGCTGTAAATCTGGAAGAGGTGTTACTCCTGATTTTGTCATTTCTGCCGACCCCCAGTCCTTGATGGTTGGAGAAAGAGACCGGGGTGGAGTGATAGAGAAGGTAAGATCTATGGGAGAAGGTGGGGGATCTCAGGCCTCTCACTGCCTACTGCCACCTTGTGAGAAGGATAGTGGCTTGGTGGGCCTTATTGGACAAGAAAGTTGAGGAAGAGATGAATAAAATTTATTTTTGGGTGATCATGCTCCACCCACCACCAAACATTGCCAACAGAGGAAAGGCCTACTTGGCCTTTGATGGAAAAAGGCTAAAAAAATGTTGTGGGTAATCTGGATTGTACAATTTTGTTTTACTGCATTCTAGTTCTCATGTTGTTTTATAGTTTGAAAGTGTTTATTCTGCCTAGTTACTGGTACTCTGTAGTTTCTTGTATTGATTTGAGCCTCTTATTTAAGTTACAAAATAGTTTTTTGGACTTCTGTAGTATCTTCCAGTTGTTTAACAATGTTAACCAGCTAATGCTCGTCAATTTGATTGAAGTCCCTTGTATGATTGGAATGCTATGGAGAAAGATGGATTTTCATGGTGGATATGTCGAATTCGACGAGCTATGGATTTGTATGATGAGTTCAGAATTGACCATTTTCGAGGTTTTGCTGGATTTTGGGCTGTTCCATCAGGTATGTAGTGTACGTAATCAGGCTCTGTAACGTTTGTTACCAGTAGTATTCTCCACCACCTGTGTCATTACTGTTGGCCATAATTCCTTGCAGAAGCAAAAATTGCAACGGTTGGGCGATGGAAGGTCAGTTTCTCTGGTTTAAATTACTTTGTAAAGCTCAAATTGTGGGTTCCTTACTTGTTCACCTATTTCTAATGCTGTTTGATGACATTAGGCTGGGCCTGGAAAGTCCTTGTTTGATGCAATATTTAAGACTGTTGGGGAGATTGACATTATTGCTGAAGATCTGGTAAGTCATTAGATTTTGTTCTCCCCCCCTCCCTCCTATTTCCTTTTATTTGTTGTCTGTTTGCTTCAATAACGCCATTATTGCTGAATATCTGGTTCATGATGACATGTTTAATTGGAAAATATCATTAATGCCTTGTCCGTTTTCCATTGTTTTGGCAGAAAAGTAGAAGAATGTTGTTTATATTATTTATATTACCTTAATTATACTATAATTTTCTTGTAACAGGGTGTAATCACGGAGGACGTAGTTCAGCTGAGGAAATCTATTGGAGCACCTGGGATGGCTGTCCTGCAATTTGGTATTCACCTTTTTTTGCCTTCTGAATTCTGTCTGCCATCAAAACTCCCTCTCCTGCCCTATTTCCCTCCTTCATGATATGTTTTTCAAATTTTCTATTTGCTTAATGTGATGGAAAGTTTTGGGTGATTTATGAGTATGTTTGGTCAATAAATCTCGGTGTAGGTTTTGGAAGTGATGCAGAAAACCCTCATCTTCCTCATAATCATGAACGCAATCAAGTAGTATACACTGGCACTCATGATAATGACACGGTAAAGCTCCTGCTGCACTATTTTTCATGTTAAATCTGTTATCTAAGCATATGGCTTCCAACACTAAGGCTGATCCATTACATAATTTACGTTCTTGTAATCTGCATGCTACTATCATGGTTATAGACTACACTTAGTACTTTCCTTAGTCTGAGTTACCTTTTCAATGTGTGTGTTCATATTTGATAGGTTCTGGGCTGGTGGGACAACTTGAAGCAAGAAGAGAGACATCATGTAAGTTTTCTATAGAGTAATCAGGCAACATAAAGTTAATTCGAATAACACTTTTGGATTGATTTTATATATTTCTAGTGTGATTTTTTTTTTTTTTTTTTCTGGCCGTGATTTAGTTCCGTCTTATTATTGATACAGGTGCTAAGATACCTTTCCCTCAATGAAGGGAATGATATTTCGTGGGGACTCATCCAAGGTGCATTATCGTCCGTAGCTAAAACTGCAATCATACCAATGCAAGATGTTCTTGGACTTGATAATTCTGCAAGGATGAATATTCCAGCTACTCAGGTAATTTGTGGCTACTGTAGCAATTATGCTAGTAATTACAGTGTAATACTACATTTAGGTTATGGTACTAATTCGGCTGGGACCTTGTTTCAACATGAGTGAGTGATGATCAATTTATCACCATGCTGATATTATAGTTTGTCATCATTCTTGCATGGTTATTTTTAACCTGTTGTGTGACTTGTGTCTGAAAGTTCTGTCTTTTATCTTTTTCATGCACCTTTGTGCTTTCTTCTAATTTATGGGATGTTATACAGTTTGGGAACTGGAGCTGGAGAATACCGTCTTCTGTGAGTTTTGAGAGCTTGGACACTGAGGCAAAAAAATTGCGAGACTTGCTGTCAATGTATGGCCGGTTGTAAATGTTGATGTGTGAACTGCGATGAGGCTTTGTATCTTAACCTAACTTCTGCAGTTTTTTACCAGTTGACGCAGAAGATACTACTGCAATTTACCTAAGCTCTTCTTCAGTAATATATCAGATTGTTGCAATAGAACTTGTATCTCCATTGAGGATGTTTGAATCTCACGTAAATGCAAAATAAATCAATTTTTCACTATGCTTCCTTTGGGTTTTTTTTTAGTCTCTATCCTCCATAAGTTATATCCAATATCAATCTTTCATTAGCTGATCAGAACGACGAAGTAATTGGCCAAGTTAATGTAAAGCAAGTACCGGAGTGAGTCACGTTTTGGGAATTTGGGTCGATTGTAAGATAAAACATGTTCGCCCAGTCTCATATAGGGAACATTTGACACCAAATATATGCAAATTTGAGACTAATGTTGTATGGGGACGAGCACAAATTGCACCTTTTCTGTTACAAAATACAATTTAAAGTTGGAGCTTATCAGCAAATTTGAAGCAAGTGTAATTTGTAATCATCCAGTCTTTCTCAGATTCTCGTCAATATATAATACAGTATTACAATTATAGATTACTCTATGTTATCATATTAGACTTGAGCTGTTTAAACTTTGTACCAAAAAATCTGTGAATTTTTTTTTTTTTTTTTTGTGAGACTGTTTTTCTTGAATTTATGAGGCTGTTTCAATTGCTTTGATGCAATCGATTACAGATGCTTTCTTTGACATTTCAGCCATCAGAGCTTCATGAGCCGCTTTATTGTTCTTCAAGAGAGATGCTGCAAACAAAACCTGAACAAACATAGTGCACAATATATAAGGCCCTGCCCTGCGTGTGAGAGGGAGAAGAAAGAAGAGGTTATCCTTACAGCCCATCTAGTTAGGTTCTGTTGCTGGTCCTTGCTGATTTGTGGTGTACTCCTATTTATAAATCTCTGTGTATGGGAAACAACAAAAAATTCTAAATCTTTTGCCCCAAATTCAAGCAACAAATGGCAAAAGAATAATTACTACAGACCTGTAGACTGAAAAGATCTGCAGATTGACCAATAACCTTGTCGTATGTTAGCCCTTCGGCAGCCAGCCCAGCCATTGACACAACAGCCAACCTGGAGTAACAAATAGTTTTTTTTAGCCATAACTACCAACAGATGCCTCAAAAACTTGATGTAAGATTAATCCATCTCTGATAGTGGATTCAGGAGTTCAATCTCAACCTATACTCCCAAGAAAGTGCCCCATACTCCAAAAGGCCTCTATAATTCAGTCACAGATATGTGTATCAGGTGTTTCAACAATCGTCAATTGACTATTGGACAAAATATGTTCAGACATGAAAGGAGAGAAAATAGAAATGTTAAAAGCAGAAGATAGACCTCTATGGGGTTTATAAGATGTCCAAAAACGTTATTTTAGGATAGCCTCTAGAAAATGTGTTTTCTGAACCATGAACCATAAAGGCCTAGTAAACGTATTACCTGTCAAGTTCCTTAGAATCAAGCTGTCCACTGTATATAAGCTTCTCCAACTTGTCATTGACGAGGTTCACATGCTCTTTACCAATATCCAGGGAATAACTCAAAATTGGTAGGCCAAGCAAATATGCAACTGTGAGAAATAGCAACAGTGTCAAGCCATGTTTGAAAAAGTAATACTATGTAACTAGAACAGAGCTGATAGCCAGTGGAGACTAGACTTTGGGCAAGATTTAAATGATGCTGATCATTGATAATGATAAGTGAGGTAATTGTAGATAATTAGCTTATCTATGACATATCATTTCAATATAACATGATACAACTATGTAATATAATGCTCCTGAAGTTCAACCACTCCCCCTCTACCAATACCCCCCCCCCCCCCCAAGCAGCTGTATGCCTAAATTGTTGCAATTCTGGCTACTGCTGATAATAGTATCAGCTGAGTGCTTATGATAAAATGAACATATATGTTGACTAAAGAGAAACCCTATTGCTGACATACTGTATTACCTAGAAAATGAGCCGCTTCATGCCTAGAAATCCGCTCTTGATAATCAGGGAAAACCACAGAGAATCCACCAATGGCTGCCTGGAGAAGCCTGCATAGACAGATATTATAGTACGTCAATTTGGAATGCTTTCAGTTCCCTGGAGTAAAAGGTATATCCCCCTCTAGAAAAGAATAAGATGAGGATAGGAAAGAAAAATACTTCATATCTGTAAGGAAATGTAGAAGTCCTTAGTTCCTTACCCAGGTGCAACGCTACCCACAGCCAAAACCACTAAAGAGATGCTTCCAACCAAGTATGGCACGAAGAAGCCCCAGTCCTATAATACAAGCATAGTTATAAAACTCAAGAGACAGAAACAATCATAGAGCCACAGTTTCAGAAAACAATCAGAAGGAAATGTGCACAGAGCCACAACTGCCCACATTTATAATAATTTGTGATTAATTCCTAAATTTACAAACTGACATCTCCATAATATGTTACAGTAAATTATCACACTAGCCAAAGTGGAATTCAAGAGAGAATAAGCAGAATCGTTCAAATCCTTTTCAAACAGTTTTATGATACCAAAGTTGCCTGACTTTGTGAATAGTTGTGTGCAATTTTTCTTCAAAAACAAAAAATAAAACCAACATGTTGAAAGCAGAATCATTCTTCTATGTTGAAAGAACGGCAAGAATGTGTAATCACCTTAAAAGACCTTAGACCAAAGTTTTCATATTTTATGTCTACAAAACGTAGTCAACCTTGGTACTTTTGACTCACAAGACTGACTAGCTAGAAATAATCTGAGTGAAGATCAGAGGAATAGAAACATTTTGACATCAAAGAAGTTATTTACGTAGTATGTTCAATCTAGCATACAGTTCAGTCTTGCAATACGTTTGACAGGAATATAAGCTGGCTTGTATATAATGGAGATCAGAGGATGCAATTTACCCCTGGAAGCTGGCCAGCAAGAACAGCCACAAATCCTGTTGTGCCAACCACCGTAGCTAGAAAAGCTGCCTGCATGACTGAAATTTATCATGACACAGTATCCACAGTAAAGTTTTAAATCCCCCATCACTAGAGTTCATTCAATAACAGAATCATCTAACATAATGTGCAATTGTGCATACATAACAATGTGCCAATAAATATAAACTTTAAGCTAACAGCAGGAGCTAGCCAATGGAAGCAAGCAACACAAGTCATGATGCTGAAGTCCTCTACGATAGGAGGAGAACCTCAAAATACCCTCCTCAAGGCAATGGTGAAAGAACATTTGCTTATATATGTTCATCCTCTATGATGGAACTAGTTACTTACATCATTTCTGACGCTTGGTATAGCAAGATTCTCAGCATTCTTGATTCCAAGAGTTGTCAGCTCCCGAATTGATGTCTGTGCATTAGAAATGCAAATAATGACTTTTCTTCAGCAACCTTTCTTAGATTAGCCAATAATTAAGCTGAAAATGTACAAGTACATGCTAAAAATGGACACGTACAGTACGACGAGAGATATATGGCTGTGAACTCCACCTTTTGGCCCAACCAACTTCGCTTAACTGATCAAGTGCGTCCTTGACAGCATCACTGTCATTCTGCACCATAAAATGCTTACATCCTCAGAAATTTTCGTTTAGAATTATTAAGCATCACATTCTGACAAGCATAAAATCTTCACCATAAATACTTCACCATTACGAGAGGGTCTAAGGTCTTCATAAAATGTCATGAGTTGAAGAAATATCATGAAATGATTAATCACATTGATTTGGATATTACTTGAGCACATAAATTCAGTCTATACTTTGGAAAAGATTAGTTGTTAGGTACTCGATTGAGATTTAGTATATAACACCAGCCAAAAGTTCTTTCTTCAAAGCTCAACTAGATGCATTAGCTTTAGCTATTATCGATTAAATTTTCACTACCTATACTTGCAAAATCACACGCTTCATAAATCATGATGGCCTGAAACTCAGGAACTTGGTGACACCAATGACATTCCTTCTATTATATCTAGAAGCTCAACGTTCTCAGCCTTCAGCAACTTCCCAACAGATAAATCACCCATTCACAACAATCCTTCAAAAACCAGCTTCCAACACTTAATTATCAAATTCAGAAATTCTAGTACTGCAATGATCAATAGGCTTTACTCATAGAACATCACAATTAAAGCTTAAAAACAATAAAACAGTCCATTTGGTAATTAAACGGCGGTAATGGGAATAAATTTAAGTGTAATATTGCATAAAAAGTATCATCCCAACATCCATGATAATGCAACACATTTAATAGATTTTCATCAAGTGTGAAAACCCAATTAACACAATTAAACAACTAGAATTGAGCTCAAGGCAAACTAAGCCCTAAAAAAGCATCCTTTAGTACCCAAACAAACTAGAATTGCAAACCCAGAAAGAAAATGTGACTATAAAATTAGGCAAATTTAGACAAATATAAAAGCACCCAGAAAAATCAGAAAATTACCCAGATATTATTCAACAAATTCAAATACTGGGTAATCCTAAAATCCATCCTATTCAATCATGAGGAGATCGAGAGATAAGGATGAACCTTTTCAAGAGCGGATTGAAGAGGGTTAAAATCAACAGAAGGAAGAGCATTAGCAGTAGAAGAGGAGCAAGTGATGATTATGCGGCGTTTGTTGGTGAAGGAGTTGTATTGATTGGTGTTAGCAGAACAACTGTTGCTGCGATGAAGGTGGTTGCTGCTGAGAAATAATGCAGCAACGCCGTTTACTGTAACTGCTGACATCCCTTTTCACAGTAAAGTTCCAACACCCTCAGATTTTCAGATAAGGTTCTGTTTTCGCGCCACCAACTCAGTACAGGTAGTTTAGTTATATTCTTATTCATTGTTGATGATGTTTACGGTGAAATTGAAAAGGTGTAAGTTTATCACCCACTAATGTATTAAGTCATTTTTTTAAGAAAAGTGTCTTAGAGCCTATGGTGGATACTTTTTTAAAACATAAATTTTTTTGATTTGTTTTGCACAATTCTCAAAAGATGGCTTTGGGTAAGGCTATTATTTGTGTCGTCCTCGCGTATTTGACTAGATTTTAGAATTGTCTCACAATTCACAATGAGACATATAGCTAACAGCTCACTAGCTAAGTGTCGTGTGAACCATGAAAGGTTTTTCAACGCGATCATTATGATGTATCAAGTCGTGCATAAGTCAAAATTTGCTACTTTTGTCGTGTTGGGTTAAGCCGAGACACATCTTTCTCTTTTTTCACTAATGAAATTGCACACTCATAGCCTGAAATGACACATTAAATCACCAATGTGTTATGTTATGTCCAACCTTACTGATATGCTCCCCTTTTCGTAGACTATTTCTTACTTTATATTATGTTAAAGTATAATGTGACGTTCTAAATTAGAGACCTTATTACATCGCCGAGTAGTCGATAAAAGTTTGTCCAACCTTAAAAGATAAACTTGGAGTATTCCAATTAATCAATGATCCAACAAAAATGAGATAGCCAAAGCACAGTTCAAATGACCTTGACTCTCCTCCATCCCTCTCACCTGAACTCTCAAAACTCCGACAACCATGGCCGATCAACCTCCACCTTCACCTTCATCCTCTGATCCCACTGAAATCCACCATGAACAACCCCTGATTCCAGCTCTCTCAAACGACGTCGCACTGCTATGCTTAGCTCGAGTTCCTCGCTCCCACCACCCTTTCCTCTCTCTTGTCAGCAAATCATGGCGGTCCATTCTCCGTTCTCCTCTCTTCCACGCCACTCGCTGTGCACTCAACACCACCCAATCATTCCTCTTCATCAACCTTCGCATCTTCAACTCTAAAGACTCTTCCTTCTCTTTCAAATGGTACTCTCTAGACCCTTCTGCATTTTTCCCCAAAAATCCCCAAATTAATCACATCCCAAGAACCCTAATCCCGTTTAACCCCTCCCCATCTCACTTAATTGGGGCTTCTTTCGTTTCATTAGGTCGCCATTTGTATGTAATTGGTGGGTCTGTCAATGATATCCCTTCCCCAAACTTGTGGGTTCTTGATTGTTTGTCTAATAAATGGGAAGTGGGTCCTAAAATGAGGGTTGGGAGGGAATTTGCTGCTTCTGGGGTGATTGATGGGAAAATTTATGTGTTGGGGGTTGTGTTGTGGATAATTGGGCTAGGTCTATGAACTGGGCTGAGGTTTTTGATCCGATTAGCCGGTTGTGGAGGCCTGTTCGGAGTCCGATTGAGGTGAAGGAGAAGTGGATGCACGCTAGTGCTGTAGTGGATGGGAGATTGTATGCAATGGCTGACAGGAATGGGGTAATTTTCGACCCGGGGATGGAGGAGTGGGGGTTGGTGTCAACGGAGCTCGATTTGGGGTGGAGGGGGCGGGCCGCTGTGGTGGATGGAGTGTTGTATTGTTATGATTATTTGGGGAAGATTAGAGGGTTTGATGTTGGGGAGAATGAGTGGAAGGAGTTGAAAGGGGTAGATAACAGTTTGCCTAAGTTCTTGTGTGGTGCTACTATGGCTAATGTGGGTGGGAGGTTGTTTGTGGTGTGGGAAGGGAAAGCGAACCAGAAGGCGAATGAGAACGGGGGCTGGAGTGGGCAGGAAATGGAGGTGCTTTGTGCTGAGATTTTGGTGAGGAAGAATGAATTAGGGGAATTGTGGGGATCAATTGTATGGTCGGATGTGATCATTGTTATTCCCAAAGGGTCCTCTGTTGTGCATTGCTTGGATGTTCATTTGTGAGTTTCTCAGGAATAACATCAGTATGTATTCAATCATCCTTTAGCTCTTTGTTTTTACTTTTATTGATTTTTTTTATTTTTATGTCATGTCATATTATTTTGTCATAAGCTTCAATAGGTTCCGGTATGATAGCAAAATGGTATAAGAAATTCTCTAAAAAGAAGAATGGCATGCTTTGAATTATGCAATACTTCTGCATACAGTAGAATTACAGTTTTAATTCATGGAATTCATAATGCTTAAAACTTCTACTGTATAGGTGAAGTATAATCCCAAAACTTGTTTGTAGTTTGCAGTAGGCGTGAGTGAACTTTTTTATGTTTGGAGATGTAATTTTGAGCTAAATGTGATTGATACTGCTGGAATGATAGTCGGTGAAGGAAAAGTTATGGAAATGTTTTGACCATATATGGGCTTAGGTAGTCTGCTTAGCTAACATCACAAACCTAGTGTTCTAATTGCTTAATTCATGGTAGTGAAAATTGATGTGATCTAAGTTAAGCCAAACCAATTAATACAAGAAAGTACTTCCAAGTAAAAGCTCTCTACCTTTGTCATCATTTTATAATCAATTATCACTTAATAGATCAAAATATTTCTTGACACAAAACTACCCTCTTATGCCATCTGCCTAAATACTAACAAAATCTAAGAGCTTTTAAAAATATAGGCTAGGGGTGAAGATAATTGAACAAGTTATAAAGTAAATATGATTGCTCACAAACACAGGCAAATTTGAAAGTAGCGCCATTGGTTATGAATCTTATGTTCATCTTGTGCAATCATTTAGAGGTTGTTTGTTATGGTGATAATGTGAAGGAACAGTAACAAGTTTGTGTGCTATACTGCTGCTTGACATGGATGGTCCAAGAATGCATCTCCACTCACAGACATTTGTATACTTTGATCAATTTATGTCTGTTACCTTTCGTCCATACCTAAAGAGGTGATAATGTTTGGGTGATAAAAATTTTGATGAAGAAAAATAATGTGTTTGCTAATGGATATGCATTATCTTGAACATCTGTGTTGAACATTTCAAATTAAACTCACAATATAAATACAAATTCTATTATTATTCTCTCTAATTGGGACCTAATAACAAAGTAACTTTTGGGGGCATTCTTTTGGTAAATGAAATTATCTGTTGGCTTCTTTTGTGTATAAAAACTGAGATGATTAAGATAATTTGAATGTCGCTGATGGTGATTTATGCTTTTGTTTGACCATAACCTATTGCTTCTGAGGAAGGCAACACAATAATTTAATTTAATTGATCTCTTTTTTTTTTCTTTTTTTTTTTTTTTGTGTGTGTGTGTGTGTGTGGAGGGTGGTTTCTATCCTGATCAATTTTGAAAAGTTGTTTACTGATTATTTTTAATTGGCTATATAGCTGTTAATAAGCTAGTTGCATTGTCCTAAATGGTTGTTTGGTGATTGTAAGTAAAGTAGTAAACCATTAAATCAAATGCTTTTTGATGAAGCTATGTCGGATATCGAGCTAATGGATATTGGTAATGGATCCTGCTCATCTATAGAATACACTTTCATCTAAGCAGATAGATTAATATGATTGTCACTTGTTTCCTGGACAATTTCCTTACTAAACCTAAATTTGTGCCTGTAATAGAGCATATTGAAACAAGTAACTCATGGAAGAATGCATGCTCATGTCTCAACACGACCTTTTATCTTCAACTAGTACCCTCTTTCTGCAAATAATCCTCTAACACACATTTCAAATTGTACCCGTTGTTTAGTTCAATGTTGGGAAAGCGCAATTTTATATTTTCCTTTGCCTGGACTGGGATGAAGCATTGGATAAGAATAGATCTTTCTCCTATAATCTACAGCTTGACTATCAAGAATTTATCTCAGGAATCACTTTTAAAAAATGTAAACCAGGCATACCACTAAACGAGTAAGGTATTTGACAACATGAAATGTCTATAATCTCATCTTGAGGAGTTCATACTATTATAAACATTTATGCTTGTTTGTGTGTCACCAAAATAGGCTCAAGGAGATTCCTTACTAAAACCAATTGGTGATAGTTGGATTAACTCCTCTCCCTTATAAAGTGGAATCATCTCTCCTCTTTCTCCAATGCGGGACACTCACAAATGGGTTTAAAATGGGTTTCAACAGTGTGCATGTAAATTATCACATACATTCTTCTGGGCTTATTTTCCTTGCAAAAGTTCTGAAATCATTAATGGTTGACATTCTTTATATTTATATCTATGCATCATGCAGTCACGCTTTCTTAGATAAGACTGCTCGAAAAAACATTTTTGGATAAATTATTAGTCCATGTTCCTTTCCATCGGTTTCTGATGTACGCTCAGATTTTTCTACGAGTGTTAGCAGTTTGCACATTGATGGCCATGATAGGTGCTGCTCCTACTTGATTCCTAAGGGCCAGGACCCCTTATTGGTATATACGGTTTAATGTCACTCACCATATCCGCAACTGCTTTTCTTACTGTTCACCATATTCAGCTTTTCTCAGGCTATTACCATTTACTAGAGTAATAGTAGTCTCTGTTGTATTATCTTGACTAAAATGGAACTTATTGCTGTATCATGCATATGTTGTTTTTGGACTAATTTTGGCATCTTGCTACAATGTTGTACAAGTAGATTAGAGAAGCTAATGGTGTATTGTTATAATATGGTCTTGATGGCCCATTATCTGACAAAAAGAGTGCATTGTGTCGTATAATGAAGAGAGTGATGAATGGTGTCTTTGTCTATAAGCTTAAGTTGTGATGTCCTCTTTCAAGCTTTTGTGAATTGATCTGCTGGAGTTTCCATGTAGAATTTGTTAACTGGCACAATTCTTAGTTTTATGTATTGATCTGTATCTGATAACTTTCTTTTCTACAGTACGTATGTTCCTGCATAGGCTTTGTCATTGATAATGGTATCAGTGAAGGTCAAATGAGGTTGAAGCATAAGCATTTAGCCATGCCTTCATTCACATCTGAAGCAAAATTTCCAGACCTGCGTAAGTCTCTACATTTTCCTGCTCTTGGTGTCTTCGAACTTTGTATTAAGACTTAAGACCTCATAGAGTTCACCCTCAAATAAAGCTGTCTTCTGAATAATATGAAGACAGTCTGCATTGCAATTGTACAATAGTGTAATTTGTATGTTCGGCAATTAATGCCATTCTGTTAATTACTCAATTTGCTTGACCCTGAAAAATACAGTTGTTCAATGATCATTATCATATGTGCTAGCCATTTTTTTCTTTTTCACTTTTCCAAGCAGGGTTGCAATTGGCTAAAGGAGACTCCCTTCTAGGCTTTATGGCTTGTAAAATGGTCATTCTGTCTCACTGGTTGTTCCCAATGATCGCTGTTGTTCAAGGCAAAGAGTCGTAATCAGCAGTGTTCATTATGCAAACTTGTCCAAGCACCGACTGCTCCTCAAAGAAATTTGGTTTCCTCCTTTATTCCTAATATGAAGCATGGTGCGTATGTACACAGTCTCAGCAATTAGAATAAATTGCAAACTGCACGAAAAACGCTTAGCTGGGGTATCAATTACCCAGATTTTGTATTGAAGAAAATGTGAATAATGCATACTATTAAGTGACAACTTTTTCAAACATCTTATTTAGTCGTCATTCTATAATTTAATTGTTATCTTGATTAAAGCATTGATGATGAATTGATGAGGGTGGCTAAAGAGACCCCTTGGCAGTTGGCACTGTGGCAGTAGCTTATAAATGATATATACTTCCAGTTCTGAATAAAGAAAATAAAAAAACAAAAAATGTCATCGCACTAAAAGCGAAAAAGATTCACAATTGTTTTCCACAGGCTTTGGTACTGAAAAATTATGAAGAAAATTTATATTTAATCCGAGAAAGTGGCACATTTAATCAATAAATCATATAAAAGTATACTCTGCATTACTCCCTCCATCTCATGTCTAATGGTTGCAAGTAATATGAAACAGAGATAGTATAAAAGATTTTCTTTTGTATTTTTATATTGTAAGAAAAAAATAGGTGGGGTGAAAGTGAGATAGGTGAGAAGAGAGAAAATGTGGGAAATTTTTTTTTTTTTTTAACTACATTAGTGATTCCATTCCTTATTTAGTAATGTATTAAGTATTGTATGACAGACGAAAATGAAAAATGTATCAAGTATTATGGGAGGGAGGGAGTAATATTTATCGGAAAATTTGTTACTATGTATCTTTACATGACATAAATTTTGACAAAAATAACAATTAGGTCCATTACCATACAAAAGCTTAGCTCACTTGGTAGGGTTTGAATCTTGCCAATTGATGGTGCTTGGAGTTGGGAATCACCCTGTCTTTCTCTCACTGCACTCTAGTGTTTGACACACAAATACTAGATATTATAGGAATATCACTAAACAAACGACTTCACATTGATACTTACTTACCCAACATCTTCGCACCAAATCAATACTAATGAATAATGATAGCATTAATGGGGGAACAGGAGTACAACACCACAAGGTTGTAATTTTTCATATCAAATCAATACTAACGATAGCATTAAAGGAAGAAAGGAGCAACAACATCAGCCCATAAGGTTCACATTCTTGTCGTACCAAATCAAAAGTCAAAACTAACGATAGCATTAAAGGGAGAAAACGCGTATAATGCCTGTAGCATCTATCTGCAAGACTGTAAGGTCACAATTTTTCGTACCAAATCAATACTTATGATAGCATTAAAGCAAGAATAGGAGTACAATGACATCGACCAATGAGGTCACGAGGTCATAATTTTCGTACCAATTCAACACTAATTATAGCATTATTCCATAACTAATGTTGCTCTCACAAGAGAACAATTCACAACTCCAGAAATTACCGATACACTAATACAGTAAGCCTATTCTACTAAATATCCACAACGCTTGAATAGTTTGTGCATCTCACGGAACCAATAAATAGTACTACACTCGGAAAAATGCCACAGTTGAAACATGCCATAGCTATATTGGCTATGCAATGAACGGATAGATACAACACTAAAAAGACATATACAATCGTACAGAAACATATTATGTTGGTTTGATATGGCAAAATCATCATTGTTTTAGGAAGCTCTCGATTTGTTCAAGCACCTGCAAATCGTAGATGTGTCAGGTCAAAGGTGAATGAAAAAGGACAGTGATTCACCAACATACAGATTAACAGGAAGGCATGAACTTTGTAAGAGGACTTTCTTAAAACTAGTTTCTATTTTCTTTCTTGTCATAGTAGAGAACAGAGAGCCTACCTCAATTGCAATAGCAACTGGACTAAGATTATCTACTTTTACATTCCCTAGCTTCGATGCGATAGCTGCAAACAAATTAGTATGGATGTTAAAATAAGGATATAATACCACAGCAGAAATAGGTTATCATATAGAAAAAAGGAGCATATTAATGCTCAGATTAATATAAGTTCAATATAAGTTCCATCCAGAATATACAATTATATCAAGACCACCCCATATTTGATTAAGGAAGGGAGAAAATGTAAAAAGAAGAGATAAAAGCATTAATGAGGCCATACATTCCAAAGAAACCCGGGCATTAGCATTAGCATATGCTTCACCTCTCTCTTCTAATAGGGTGGACAAGCGTGTCAAAGCCTGCAGGGAGGTAAACAATAATATTAACTGGCTTTCTTAAAAGTATGTGTTAGATTTTCCATTAACTAAGGCAGGCAAGCAACAAACCTTAGAGTAAGCATCCCCTGATTCACCATGCAATAGAGGACGAGAGCCGGTCCCAACAGCTGAAATTCTCCGTGCTAAGCAATCCACTGGTACATCTAACCAAACACTGACACCGCTTCGCATATGTTTCCTGGAAGATAAATCATACAATAAAATTAACATACAACAGCCTTGTAAAAATCGAAAAGATAACCCTCAATGTCAGTAATGAAATATGCATAACACATACCAATTGATGGGCCTTATAACAACCCCTCCACCAGTGGAAATGACACGCCGATGCATCATAGATAGTTCCTTTAAAACCTCGGTCTGCAATAAAAAGTGAAATCAGCATTGTTCCCAGCACCCCAAGACAGAAGAACAACAAAGCTACTTGAGCAGAGCTATTGTACTAGGATACATCTTCACTTAATACTGATGTACTGTGATCATCCCTACCATGAGTAATTGATACCAAATGCTCAACTCATCACGATATCCATATGTAATAAGACATCAATCTACAGGACAGTTGAAATAGCCTGCTAACATCTTTTGTGTATTACTTCTTGCAATTAATAAGAATGCCTGAAATTTTTTATTATTATTATTTTTTAATCCTAAATACTTAGGAGAGAACTGTTTCAAATTTTATAATTCAGTATTTACTGACTTCCATCATTCTAAATCCAACTACCCATAAATTCTTAGTAAATTTTGAATTTTCAAATTCAGTGTCTTCAACTCTTTTTTACATTTCTTTCAAAAAAAAAAAAACTCTTTTTTACATGGGTTTTTATTTCCTTAGAACACTTCTTGAAACAAATTGTATCGAATATAACCAGATTTAACCAAAGATACAACATTGAAATTTATAGAGAGAATCGAGGCGGAGGCAGAAAGTTGTTTGAAGAGTGACGGTGTAAACTTTGCAGCATTACACCTTAAATTAATTAGGCCAACAAACCCCATTTTATATAAGGTTACATTGACCCCAAGAACTAATTTCAAGCATTCCACTCATCCACATTTTTTATTTTTTTTTGTTACAATATCATTCAGGCTTAGCAGAAAAACCAGCTTTTACTCACCTCTTTGTCTCTAAAGAAGCCTTCTCCATGTTGCTTGAAGATTTCTGCAACAGACATTCCCCCAACTTTCTCCTCCAGCAATAAGTCACTGAATCATGCAGAACCAGAATTCAAACAAAATTATTCTTCGTACATTATAACAAATAATTAATCCGAACGAATTCATATCTCAAATGGGTTTATGCAAGAAAAATAATTAATCTGAACGAGTTCATATCTCAATTGGGTTTAAAACATTTAACATGTACTTGAGGGTAACAAAGACAGTCTGTTAATAGCAACTTAGCAAGTGATGCAGATTACATAGGCAGACCTATCAGAAGTTGCAACTACAGTACGACATCTTAAATACATATACTTCGTATAAACTAACAAATGACAGACCTGTCGGAAAACGAATAATTAAGTGCTTCTGACAAAACTCTGCCAATAGTTGTTTTTCCAGAGCCCATCATACCTGCATGTAACTTTAGTGAATTAAAACTAGAGTAAGTTTAAATTCTGTAACCAAAGATGGAGAGCAAGTTAAGAACTAACCAACAAGGTAAATACAACGTCCATCTAGAATTGGTTCTACCTCTGCTGATTTTTTCTGCAATTAAGAATGAATTTCCACTTAGATTAATTGAGGCCCATCTACCAAAATTTATCTTCACTAATTTATTAAAATTTACAAGCAAGCTGAGGAAAAGGTCTAGTCTTAACATCCTGTGAAACGAATTTTAGCAATGACAAATAAGGCAAGATTACCTTTAAAACGAAAGACTCATCAAGCAAAGCAGAAATACCACCAGACTCCAGCAAAGAACCTGAATAGGAACATAAATTCATAACCGAAAGCAAGAGGTTATACATCCATGAATCCATGATAAGATGACTATTAAAGAGACAACTAATGGTGGCAAAGAGTAATGAATTTATAATCATTGGCTCATCAAATATTGAAACTATAGACAAGGAGGAGGATGAAGGCACAGTCTTGGTTTTTGCCTTGAGATTTACAAAATTCGACTAAAGGGTGAAAAGTCACTAACTTCTCAATCTTACTTCAAAAATTAAGAGCAAATGATATATTTTTCAGGCAAGATCCTAACTTAATTCAATGATAAAGTAAAGGGTCACTAACTTTTCTACATTACTCTCAAATAAAGAGGGAAGAATATCTCTTTCAGGCGCAATCCTAACCAAATTCGACTATACATTGGTTGAAGGGTCTCTGAATTCTCAGTCCTACTCCTAAAATTAAGATACAATATATCTTTGCAATCCTAACTAATTTATGAATATAATTCCATCAATCATACGATCTCAAACTTGCAGTATCAAACAAAATGCAGGAATTAAAACAATCATAATGTATCATTTCCAAGTAGAATAAACTTCATTTTCCACACAATTTCATCAAACACTTAATAAACAAAGTCTTAAAATCACCTTGAGAATTCTTCAAAGAACTCGAAATCTGCCAACGAAGCGGTTTATGATGAACTGAAGTTCTCCAATTTGATTGCACATTCATGAACATCATCTGGACCCCAGAATCATCCATAGTTTTCTGAGAAACCCGGGTAAACCCACCGGGTTTTCTCATCAATTTTTCGGTATCCATCCATTTACAAGGTTGAATACATTGCAAAAATTTAGCCTCCATAACACTAGTAATCTTAATTCAAACACCCAATTGCAAATTGATCACCTTCAAACAAACAAAGTGACAAGAAGAATTTCAATATAAAATTTGACAAATACCCAAGTAAATAACAGCTAATCTATCATCAAATTAAAACAATTGAAGCAAAATAAGCTATACCCAACAATTATTTTTGCAAACAAAGCGATTAAATTCAATGTTTAAATGCTAAAAAAACGTATAGAAAAGAGAGTTTACCAGAGATGAGGATTGATAGATGGTGTATGAAGGTTGGTGAAAGAGAGAGTTGGTGTGTTGTGGAGAGAGCTAAGAAAATTGGTATGAATGTAATTTGGTAGAGATGAGTTAGGTTCCATTGACCCATCATTTGTTCTTGGTTGGTGGAAATCTACATGGACTATGTTGTTGGTCTTTTTTTAAAACAAAAAATTCCAAAGTATTCTTAAATCCAATAATGGACCTACAAAATAGTAGTAGTCTTTTCTTAAATTTGGATGTTAAGGTTTTTTTATGGGGGTGTTTGGGGGTTGTTTATGGGGGGTGATTAGGGGTGTTGTTTATGGGGAGTTTTCGAGGCAATTGTGGTGGTATTTGAGGGTGTATATGGGCGGTTTTCGTGGCAATTTTGGTGGTTTTGAGGGTGATGGGTGGTAAACGACTAAACGTGGTGGGTGTGGGGCTATTTACTAGGGGGGTTAGGTGGGTTCGATAGGATAGGGTTGCTTTGAGTGTGGGTGGAGTTTTTTTTCCGAATGATTCTCGGTAGTGATGTCGACTAGGTTGATGGTGGTGGTGGTGGTGGTGGCGATTAGACGGTGGTTTTGGACTTTTGGTTGCTAGAATGATTGAATTTGTCAAGCAAACGTTATTAAAGAGGGGTTCAAGGTAATTGGTTGTTTTTTAATTTCTTGAAAACCCTAACTAAACCTCTTTTAAGGGTATTTTGATGTGGAGTTTCTAATGTTTACACTAATTTTTATTTATGGTTTTAACGTATCATTATCTTTACTCCGTTATAAATATCATTCGACATGGTTTGTTTTTTTTATTTGATCAAGTCAGATCTCATCTAATTGTAATAAGGTTGAATAAAGGGGTGATTTTGTGTCTTTGGGCATTCACAATATAATAAAGAGGATGTCAAATCACAAGTCAAAACAAGGTAATAAAGACCAATCAAAATTCATAATATCAATGCTAAATAAGCTAAGCCAATCACTTAAAATTGATTACTTTCTACTTATTTTTAATTGACACACATTGCCTTTTGCACTATTTACAATCTACACTTTGACTGAGTTTTTGTGATTTATATCAGTTAAAATTATGCAATCCCCTCAATCTCATATCAGTTTGACACTTTTCATCTGTACTTGTTCTAAAATAGTTTCACACTTCCCTTTTATTGTCACTCCTACCATATTATCCATCTTATCTCAACTTTCTTCTAGATTTATAGTCTTGTTTCACAGCGATCCTTCCATTAACATAACTATAAAAATACCTAGTCAGCTCATAGCAGATCTACTTTTCTATTAAAACAACTAATAGTCCAACCACAACTTATTCAGTAAAACCCTACGTAATACAAGTGTTAATATTTCGACAATACGATATCACAAAGTTTTATATGTAGCTAGTCACACCATGTGGTCAGGATTACTTATTTAGGGGTTACTCGGTCGTTCACGGGTTACTTGATCGGGGGACACTTAGTCAATTAAGGGTTACTCAGTCAATTAAGAGCTACCCAATCAGTGTTTTGATGTGTATCAAGCTATTAGCCGGCCACACGATGTGTCAGCCACACAGAAAAAACGTTGATACGAAATAGAGGAAAGCCTCACACAATTCTCCAATCTTAGCCCATTAGCACGTTTGGGTTAAGAAACCTACCCAAACTCATTCAAACCCGAATACAAACTTCACCTTCTTCGACTACCTCAGTTCTTACCTTCCAAACTTCAACCAACACCCTCTACGACTCTCTCTCTTTCTCTCTCCTCCCATCGCCGCCGGAGTCACTGCCATCTCCGGCACCTTCAAGCACCTCTAATGTCCCAACACAGATCGCAAGTATCTCAAACTACCCATTTTTAGATTCCCCAAAAATCGATGGAAAAACCCATCAAAAACCCTCAAATTTAACTCCATTGTTGAGCTCATTGACAAACTATTAAGCTTTTGATGCTTGGGTACAAATTTAGCAACGACAATCCAAATCCCATGATATTTGGGTACAAATTTCCGTTTCTCTCTCATCATAGGGTTCGAGCCTCGAAGCTTGCCTTCTTTCTTCCCCACTTTCACTCTTTATCTTCTTCTGTTGTTGCAGGATCTCGTGCTAATTTTCGCGAGGTAATTCAATACCCTTCTGAACGTTGGTTTGTTAAAGTGATCTGTACCCTTTTTTGTTTTCAATCGCATTGTTTGGATTTGCATTCGGATTATCTTGTTAAGGGTGTAACCCCATTGATTGCTTTTGAAGTTGTTAGAAGATTGGATGATTGTAATAATATTAGGAATACCGAATTGGCATTGCGATTTTTTGAGTTTAGTAGGGTGAAATTGAATTTAATTCATACTTTTGGGACTTATAATTACATTTTGAGGTCACTTTGTCAAATGGGTCATTATGATTCTGCTAATTTGGTTCTTGATTGGATGATGGTTGATGGGCATTGGTTGAATTCGTCGTTTTCGGGTTTTTTGGTGGGGTTGTTTTCGGATTCAGGAAGATTTGACATTGCCCAGAAATTGCTTGCTCAAGTAAATTGTGGAGAGAAAGATGGGGATCCTTTTGTGTGTAATAAGTTTTTGAATGGGCTGGTTAAACAAAATAGAGTAGACGAGGCTGTTAGTTTCTTTAGTGAGCAGATGATATCGAAATCGTGCTTAGATGTTTGTAGCTTTAATATAATGATTAGAGGCCTGTGCAAGGCGGGGCAAGTTGATAAAGCTTTTAAATTTTTCGAGGAGATGGTCAAATTTGAGTTGTCTCCAGATATTATTACCTATAACACTATGATAGATGGGTTGTGTAGGGTTAACAAGGTGGATAAAGCGCGAGAATTACTTTTGGAAGTTAGGTCTAGAGATGGTATATCTCCTGATGTTGTAACTTATACATCCACCATATCAGGTTATTGTAAGTTGAATATGATGGATGAGGCATCTTTTCTATTCCAAGAGATGACGAGTACTGGAATTAGACCTACCCTTGTTACTTTTAATATTCTTATTGATGGCTTTGGGAAGGTTGGCAACATGGCCTCTGTGTCAGCTATGTATGAGAAAATGCTTTATCTTGGTTGTCTCCCGGATGTTGTTACCTTTACTTCTCGCATTGATGGTTATTGTCGGATAGGGCAAGTGGATGAGGCCTTGAAGCTTTGGCAAGAAATGGTTGATAGGAAGCTGTTCCCAAATAAATATACGTTTTCTATTCTTATTATAGCTTTATGCAAGGAAAATAGAGTGAAAGAAGCTTGTAATCTTGTAAGGCAATTGAAGTTTAGAAATGATATTATTCCTCAACCCTTTATGTACAATCCAGTCATTGATGGACTCTGCAAAGCAGGGAAGGTTGATGAGGCAAATCAAGTTGTATCTGAGATGGAGGAGAGAAGGTGCAAGCATGATAAGTATACGTTTACCATTCTTATCATTGGCCACTGTATGAAGGGTAGATTGGTGGAAGCTATTAAGATTTTTAATAGGATGCTATCAGTTAAGTGTAATCCGGATGACATTACTGTAAAATCTTTGCTGTCGTGTCTGGTGAAAGCTGGAATGCCAGATGAAGCCTCGCAGATTAAAAAACAAATGGCATTAGGGAAGGTTGAAGTGAGTATATCACCTTCCAAAAGAAAGTTGCCAGCTAGTACAAATATGGATATTCAGGTGGCTGCTTAACTAGAATGAGGCATCTGAGTGCATCAATGCATAGCAGTTGGATGCATATCTTCAATATTTTGTATACTGCACAAGCCCAAGCAGTCAAGCACTCAGTTATGTGCTGTTTACGCTATAAAGTTTGAAGTTCTTGCAGATAAATAGTTGGCCCTTTTATGAGTGTCTATCAGATGTTTGCTTGGACATCAATTACATCTAATGGATGATTAGCTGCTTCAGGTCTTTCACTTAGTTTCTGATGAGAAATATTGACAAGGCTCTTTGGCTTGTCTCCTGTCTTAAATATGAGGTTCACATGTGAGTCAATCTGAAGCAGGGAGAACATGCCTTGAATGTATGAAGCAGTGAAGTCAACTGCCCCCTTTTATATTGTAGCATCCCATGCATAAAAGAAACTCAAAGCAAAGGTCAGTATCACGATACTCTTTTCTGTATCAAAAGCTGTATTTGTATCATCCAGTGCTTCTAAATAGTTTATATAGCTTAACTGGTATTATGCAAGTTTATGTTGTTTCTTAATCTTATCGCTTTAATCAAATATTGTTTCTTGTATTAGCTGGGAAAAATAGTTTGTTTAATCAGGATTCAGGAGGTTAAGGTGGCAGCTTTAAGATGTATCATGGCCTTCATGGAGATATGTTATGGTTTTGATGTGTCTTGTTATCTTTTTCTGTTACTTCAACCGCTAATACAAGTATCGTAGCTGTGTTTGGCTATTAATTGTTGGCTATTTTAGCTATTTGTATTGGCTATCTATATTGAATTGGTTTCTTGAGTTACTTGCAGTGTTGGCTGTTTATATAGATATTTAGTGAAGTTAGTTGTTAGGTGTTATGGAGTACTAAACAAAATGACTTACTTTTTGGTTAAAAACTAGAATGCTGAAAGCCACTACAAAAAGTTATTTTCTCTCTATATTTCCGTATTTATTGAGCTGAAACTCACTGAAATCTATAATAACTGCTGGTTGTTTAACCACATGAAAAAGTTAAGGAAAAATTGCTAATAATAATAACCTTTGTCCCATTCTTTTCTAATAATACAACCTTTTGATTATTTTATAATAATACAACCTTTAGGGGGTGTTCATTCCAAACAAGATTAAATCGAATTTTCAGTGAGTTTTGAGGTGGGAGAAGGGTAGGGGATATTACACCCTTCCTCATCCCCACCACCAAAAACTCATCCCTCCCCTTTCTTAACCTCAAAGTCCAACGAAAATGTGATTTTATCTTGTTTAAAATGAACATCCACTAAAGGTTGTATTATTACAAAATAATCCAAAGGTTGTATTATTAAAAAAGAATGGGCCAAAGGTTGTATTATTTTTAGCAATTTTTCCAAAAGCTAATAGGCAAAAGCCATTTACGTAACAAGGTCATTGTATGTCATTTGTCACTCCTGAGTTTATTGCAACAATTAAAATGTTAATGAACTATGAAACATTGAAATTTGCTTTGATACTATGAAACAAAGTTAAATATCAGTGTATCATAGGGATATGTTTATTAATGCACCTCTCCAAGTTTTTTGTTTCATAATATCATTAAAATTTGTTGCGAGTCTTGTTTCTTCTCTCTCCCTTTGTATTTATTTATATGGAGCGCTGATGTTTGTGGGTTGTTAGGATATGTTGGCTAAATTGCTGATCTTTTTTTATGCTTTTAAGGTTTCTCGAGGGTTTAAAAATGTAGAGTTCATCACTGTTAAAATTCCCTTAACTTTATTTATTGGAAGATGATTATAGTCTTGATCGTTGCAAATTTGACACCGGAAATTATTTTCTTGATCAGAGAAATGCACCATGGTTATCTGTGCCACAATTAGGAGACTGGGACCATAAGGGACTATTGCCAGATTACTCTCTTGATCTCTCAAAAATCAGAGAAATGGGGAATCAAAATAAAAGAGATCCTTCAAGGGCTAGTCTGGGTAATAATGAAGATTTCATCAATCCAACTGCTCCTGCTAATAACAAAGTAAACGATGAAGAACAGCAGCAATTCAATCAAAACCACGCTCCTACTGTAAGATTTTGCTCAAATGGCATTATCTAGTTGCTTTAACTTGCAGCTGTCCTGGTTGTTTAGACTTGCTAGATCATACTTTTTGGCATTAATGTTTCGTTTAACTACTTTTATGTTACAAAAGGCTGCCTAATTGCTTTATCTAGTTGTTTTATGTTAAGAGGACAGTTCCATTATTAAAGAAACTAAGCATAAAAATGGCATTGATATAGTTGCATGCTTAATGGCCTTAATCAATAACTGTAAAACACTACAAGCATGTGGGCCTTGAGTTTGCAACTTGGAGCAATAACAAAGAAAATACTTGGGCAATAACATTGATTGTAACGATCCACATTTTGCAGCAAAAAAGCCAGTCATTAATTCATTATGCATGCATCTATTTGACAATAATGTTTCCCAATTTGGTGCTTCTTTGGTGTTTGATATGCTTCTCCTTGTTTACTGTGACAATTTGTAGTTTAACTGTACTTCTAATGTCAAGGTTAATATTATGTTTGTTTGGTATATGCCCATGAAACCGTAGGTGGCCTCCAATAATTAATGAAGGCAATGTACAAATAGTGGGTTTGGGCCGAGGGGATTAGTGGTATGCCTAAATCTAATCCTTTTTTTCTGAAACATTTTCTTGAGAACTGGTTGATGTAGACTATAAAAGTATGGTCCTTTTGGTCAGTGACCAGTTGTCATTTGAATGTAAGTGGCCAGTTGTCATAGTGGCCAGTTGTCATTTGAATGTACCCGTCTACCCGATGAATGAGGGAATTGCAGTTTTACTACACAAACATGTTACTTCATGTATTTTGTATTGGCAAGATAGAAACTATTTTGATTTATCTCACATGCTTTGTATTAGTTAATTGGATTCTTCCTCGGTATATGGGGATTCAGAAGTCTTATGCAATCATGCTATGCATGAATTTGATCAAAGTATATCTGGCTCTTGCTTTTTATGATGTATTCACATTGCTTGAATGAGATGTTGCACCACCTGGGAAATCTTATGTTCAATTGGAATATGTTAATAATTAAGTCTATATCTAATTATCATTGCTAATGCTGCATGTAGATCAGCTATTTGTCATCAGTAATAAGATCAGATCTGGTGCAAGATTTATCAAGGGTTCTTGCATTATAAAAATATGTGATAGAGTGGGAAACTGTGGCATCCATCGCAGATAAACCCAAATCTATGTTTGAATTCTGCTAGTATTAAACTCTAAACCTGGTATCCAGACAGCAGACCATATGTATTGATGCTTATAACAATGTTCATATATCAACTTTTACATCTTTTGCTTTATCAATCATTTATTTACATTTTTTTCTTGTTGATTGCAGCCGACAAAGATCTTCCTCAGCTACTTCAACTGCTGTGTAAGAGCCTAAGCCCTGGAGACAAAATCCAAGCGCTACACTGCTGATGTATTCAGACCCTGTACCTAAATCTTCTTATTATCCAGATGCTTCCTGATCCTCAGAGCTCACTTCAAAGTAAGAAGTGGAATTTGCCCTTTCCTAGAAGTGATTGTTTTTGACAATATGAGAAGCACATACAAATACAGCCCCTTCAGTTGGTAGAGCATATTTGCCGCTCTTTGCCAGCATTTCTAATGAAGTTGCGTGCTTGCAACAAAAGAGGCGGGGTAACTTCCACTAAATAGCAGAAATTTTAACATTTACTGGAAAAAGATGTTATATTCTTTTTTTCTTGGGGATTTATTTATTTTTGGGGGGTTGGGGGGGGGGGGGGTGTACACAGGAAGCACTTCTCATGTGGCGTATTGTTCGCATTCTTGATTCATGTTTGCTGTGATCGCCCTGTGCAGTGAGAAATATAATTTGTTGCCATTGCCAATGAGGTTGTATAGAAGGGAAAATTTTGAGTTAGCAGATTAATAAATACGAAGTACATCGTAAGGATTTTTTCCTTACCCCAAGTTTGAAGGCATCAACTGTGAATAGCATTAGGTTTGTTCTGTATAATGCGCTTTCCAGCCAGTTTTGGACCATGATAACAAATGATTTCAATCAAGATGGAGCAATTATTTTTGCTCCCTTTTTTTACTGGTATCATGTATTTGACCTAGCCTCTGAGTTTAAAGATTGTAGACTCTTCAGCACTACTATGGTGCCTGTTATGTTGTCTGTTTTGATAACCTATCAGTATTGTTTCCAAGGTGAAAGGCGTGCCTTGACGACTTTGATTCTAAGTGTAGCAGCAGATAACATACACATACATGATATAGGGCTATCAGGCTTTTCACAAGCTGAAAAGCCTTATAGTGTGTGTGGACGTTATTCCTACAAACCGGAAAATTTCAACTTATAATTTGAGGTATATTAAGGTCATCTTGTATCCATTTCATAAACGACTCACCATATAACCCTTGATATTAGGTAAATGATCCTCACCTCAAGCACCTGCAGTTTGAAGAATTTGACCTTGACCTTAAGGTTATAAAATCAAGCTTAACATGCTATGCTTTGATTATTTCCGATTTGTGTTATCTCTTATTAATTTTTAGAGTTTTCAATAAAGTTAAACATGCCCAACATTCCATGAAAATTTGTCTTAAATCATACTTTGGACCCCCAACATTCCAAAAAAAACATTGGTTGTAATTCAAACTTGTAATATGAAATAAAATAATTTAATACTCGTTTTGTCTATTAGTTAGGAAAGGTAATTTTGAACACTCTTGTGTAGAATTTGGCACATATCATGCTAGTATATTTTGTGCTCAAGTGAGTCACGTATAAATTGAGTCTAAAAAGAAGTTGTAAGTCTTGTAACAATTTAGTCTCATGTTGATCTTTCATAAATACAGGCATACAGCTAGTGCACGACCTGAGTTTACATGCCTAATTGAGTAATTGTGTCAGCTTGGCCCAACCGAACTCCGTCCTATTTAAAATGCAACTACTTGGGTGTGTCATGTGAGAGGTAAAAAAAAAAAAAAAAAAAAAAACATCACAAGCTTTGACGAGAGTGATGGATAGCTTAAGTGAAGCTTTCCTCCTGATTTCAAGTGATTTTTGATCGATTTTCATAACATGCCTTTGTGGTTTTATACACACAAAAAACATAACACTCATTTTGACCCAAAAATCCGCTTCTTTTTTATGGGTTTGAGCATGAGGTTTGATGTTAAGGTTTGGTCAACCTAAATATTTATCGTCTCTAATCATGTGGTTCTGTCAAAACCGCCATTTAAATAAATAAATAAATAAATAAATAAATAAATAAATAAAAAAGTAAATAATAATAAGAAAGAAAAGAGAAAGAAAGAGTATCGAGAAGGTTCGATTGGTCATTTCGTTGCGTCTGTGTCATTGCCATCTTTGTTCTCCGCCTCCTTTCTCTGTCCTAAAATCAGCTCACCTTTCCATTTTCCACTTTCTTCAATCTCCCTAACTCAATCAACCAGAATAATATTACAAGATAACAACTTTCAAGTATCTTTTACAGAAAACGTGCAATGGTAGGTTAATTTCCCAATTTAATTACTAATTTTATTTTGTGGGTTTTAATGTTTTTGTAAAATCTGATTACGATTAATTTGATTGTTTGAATGCAGGCTTCAAGAATTCTTGCCCAAATTCTTGTGATGGGTTCTGGGATATTAGTTAGGGCTGTTGCCCAAGCTTATCGACAAGCTATTGCTAGTATGTTTCTTCATTTTTGTAAAAAAATTAATTTATTTAGCATGTTTCCGATTATCATCAAATCCCAGCTGTTTGATCATATGTTAATTTTTTTATTTATTGGGGTTTTATTTGAATTGATGATATACAATTATGTGACAAATTTTGGGTGTTATTAGTTGGGACTCTTTGGGAGTTCTATAGCACAAATGGGTATTGATTTTTAAAGGGTGAATTAATTGGGGTTATGTTTGTATTAGTTATTTGGTGTTAATTGGGGTTATAATTAAATGATGATGTTTCTTGTAACTAGTTGTTTGGATCATGTAGTATTGTAGTCATGAATATTGATGGGATGATTATCTGAAGTCTAAAACTTTGGCTGTGGCAATCGAATGGGCCGAGCTTGGTGGGTTTCTTAGTTATTCTCTTGGTGATTTTTATAGATAAGTTCATTAAGAAGAGAAGGGGGAGGAGATAGTGAGGAATTTAATGATCTTAAGGAGTTTAAGATGAGTGAAGAAGGGTAATGTGAAGATGTTTCAATGTAAGTTTGGGTGGAAAACAGGAAAGGGGTGAAAAACAATTCTTGCAAATGTAGGAACCATTGTCCTTTCGTAACGAAGGGAAGTCATTCCTCCATACTTCTCACCTTCCTTTTCTCTACTCCCATCTATTATTCCCTTCCATTTCCAATTTCCTATTCTTTCAAGGGTTCAATTAGAGAAGAACAAATATTACAGTTGCGTTTTACCTTGAACAATGTTTTCCATCTAACCAAATGGAGCCTACGTGTAACAAACTGTAAGGCTTGTGCATTTCAGTCCATGGATTCTATAATTATTGTATTTACCCCCCCCCCCCCTTCTTTTTTTTCTTTTTTTTTTTCCTTAAGCCCTCTTTGGAAAAGTGTGTATCTTTAAAAGTTATTTAGCATGACTAATCAAGCTTTTACATTCTAATTGAATCAGCTCTGAACCTTTTGGTTGATTGATATTTTTCAAGCCAACTCTACCATATTTGAGGACTTTTAGATAATCTCATATCTCTTATTTCACCCCTTTTTTCCCTCTCCCTGATTGTGGTATATAGCATAATAAAACAAAATGAAGTAAATGATGGGAGCTATGGATAGAGAAGTGCTCTGATCCACATAAATTGGAAGCGCAGTGTTCATTACCCAAAATTTTCTATGACCTCCTGTTTAGATTTTTTTCTAAAATTTTGATTGGTACTTTTACTGCCTCATGCAAATATGACAATTGATTTATATGCCGTTGAAACAATTTGGCAGTAGCTGCTGTTGTATAGTTTATGTATACAATATCATTAAGGTCATATGGAAATTTGTTTTGAACAACAATTCATGTTTGATTTTTGAAAAGATTTATGAATTGGCCATATAGCATTTGTCTTTAGTCCATGTTATGATTAATATGTGTATACAAATTGGGAGGGCCTCATAGTACTACAGGAGTCATAGGATTTACCAAGACCATGTACGTATAGTATCATTACTTCTTAGATGTAAGTTCTACCTGAGTACCTGGGCACCTGTTCAGCTTTCCTCCCATTTTTGTTGACAATTTTTCACCTTGTTTTTTGGATGGGCTGATGTATATTCTAAAACAAGATTAATTGCCTCTTTGATGATGATAGACATTGGATACAAAATATGAACATAACTTATAATAATTGGGTCACATACTTTTTCATGAGTTTTTTTTTGTCAGTCTTCAAATGGGTTCCAATGCGTATGTTGCTAACTTGTAAAAGGGGTATGTTTTATTTGGCTAATAAGGAACCCTTACAATTTTCAGAAGAGATTTGAGTCTGCCAAGATCTATTATTTACTTCTAGCTGTGAGTTCCAAAAGTACATTTTTTTACTTTCCTCCACAGTTTGTTAACAAATTTTGCTTTGTGTTTAAATGGGGCTGATATAGTTTCCCAAACATGATTAATCGACTCTTAAGATGATAGATTTTGGGGTTAAAATATTGACAAATATTGTATTATTGAATAAAATCTTAATAATGCTTGAGTACTTAGGTTTTATGTGGAATCGGCTAATGGATGTGTCCGATTTGGTCAGAATTTATAATTTCAGATTATGTTATGTTGAGATGACCTTTGTATAATATTTTCTGACCTTACCTCAACCTACATTGAATAGCTAGTCATTTTATGCAGTCATTTATAGAGAAATTCAACCATATAAATGAGAGTCCAATAATAACCAAGGGATATCTAACAATAGTAATAGTTGAAGGCATATTGTCAAGATGAAATCTCATATTACTATTTTAATTTAATTGGTTTTGGTTCGGTCAGGTTGAGACAGATTTGGTCTAAAATTTATCAGTTTGTTCAGCAGACAAATCTGGGTCTCTCACAAAATTTGTAGTAACCCAGTTTTTGGTTCAGCTTTCAGGTTACCCTTATTCCTTGTGCATCTTTATAAACTACACTCAAATTTCATTAAACTTAATGTTTATTATCGTCTGAAGCCAGAGGGTCATTAGGGTCCTAGGTGGCTTTTGAAGACTTTTTAGATGTTATTAAACAATTTCCCATTACTGTCCCTGATGAAATAAAATGAACCTGTTAATTGTACTTTTTAGTGTAATAGCCTTTAATGCGTGTATGTATAACTCCTTTGATGACCCTGGGAGTCTCCCTGTTAATCCCCCCCCCCCCCTCTTTTCTAGCTATTCTTGAACTTGAAAGGCCTTGGTAATTTGAGTCTCATTATTGGATATGGGTTTGTGAAGGCCATATGTGTTTGTTGTCATTTTTTATTCTAGTTCCAACGATAGATTTTAGAAGGTTGCTTTGTAGCATTTAAAGTTCACTAGAATTTTGGCTTGATTAGTCTTTTACATGTAATAGTGGCTTTTAATTGAGACAATAAATAATAGTTCTCGTGATTTTTTATTGTAAAAATTTACTTTTAGAACCATATGGCTTTACCAATTACCATTTTAAGTTGTTACTAATAAGATCCATGTAAGTTGTAACCTTTGAAATGGAATTGACTGAGTAAGATCCATCATCCATGTAAGTTGTTACCTTTGAAATGGAATTGTTTGATTAATATCCACATGCTCTGTGTATTTGTGGTTCATATTATATAGATAGACTTCAGGTAATATTGAAAGGTTGTGTAGGACCCCCATAAACTTTAATTTTATACTTTTCACTTATGTGTAAACTGTAAAATGAAAGATTTTCCTCTCATACATCACTTAAGCTCTGTTTTTTTTTTTAAAGGAACATTAGGCAGTAACCTTGAGACCCCCCAAGTTTGATTTGAGGTATGTGAGCCTCATATTTTCTTTTTCTCAACCCTTGTTACTCTCCTTCTCTGCTGCTGCTGCTGCTTGAACACCTTAATCTTATAAGTTGGGTTGGCTACATGAAACAACATGAGGACTGCCCAGGAGGTCACCCATCCTAGTACTACTCTCTGTCATTACGGCTCATGGTGTTCTTGAAATCCTTAAATAAATTGAGTGGTGATATTTAGTGCTTCAATCTGTTTTTTTTTTCTTGATTTTGATATGTGCTAGGTTTACCCTCTTTTACCCCTTTTCATTTGATGAGATGGATTTTTTTTGTCCTCTCTCTTTGAAGTTGCTGGGCTAGAAGCCTTGATCTTAACAATAAAATTTAGTGGGACCCAAGTTCTTTACTGATCTAGATGGGTTATTTGCTCTTTTTTATGTGTCTTTTGCCATCACCAAGTCAGCTTTTTTTTTTTTCCTACTTATTTTGGTGCCCATATCAGCAATCATCCTATGAAATAAAAACTTTTGGTTCGATCTTGTGTTGCTGGCTTGGTGTTTTTTTATCACATAGGCTACTTTAGCTCTCTCTCCAGATTTTCTTATTAGTCTACTACACCATCCTTACTTTCATCGTTCTCTGGTTTCATTTGAATGTTAATTGTTCATCTTACCTTCTTTTTTTTGGCCCTTGACACTTCCAAGGTTTTGATACCACTTTTATTATATTCAATATACAAGGATGTACCTAGATTGGATGAAGAGTGTGTATGTTCGTTGCATTAGGGACTAACAATATGAAATTAACAAGATATGGTGTGGATGTAAGGCTTAAGGGCCTTATCTAGCTTTCAGAAGAAATAGAAAACTGTAATTTGGAACATTAAACATCAAACACTTGAATTTTTATTTGATAATTATGTGCTACAATGTCTTCTATTCTTGCATCATATGTGTATGTATGCACAGGCCAATAAGGTAAAGATACTAGTTGCTTCCATTCTATCACTCACTAGCTCCTGTATTGCAGATGCCTCGAAAACTGGTGCTGCTCAAGAAGCAATGCAGAATACTGTACGTAAAGCAAGTAAAGCCATCACAGAGCAAGAAGCCAGGCAAATTCTTGGTGTTCCTGAGAATGCAGCCTGGGAAGATATTTTGAAAGTATGTCCACACCTCTTGGTTATAATTGTTTCATTTTCTTGTATCTTTTGTGATTCTATGTAAATGATTATCATTCATTTGTGCAGAAATATGATGTTTTGTTTGAGAGGAACGCCAAACAAGGGAGCTTTTACCTCCAATCGAAGGTTTACCGAGCAAAGGAGTGTCTAGAATCAGTATATCAAAACAAAGGTCAAGGCCCTGCCAGTGGATAGCTGGAATTTTTGTCCCATGGGTGGTTGTGCTCGTGTTTTTCTTTCTTACAATGCTGTATATAGAGTACTGCGATGATAATTAGACTAAGAACTTTTAACATAATCTTTGTTCATCTGGTTGTGATATTGTTTGTTCCTTATACGTTTTAGGAACGTCATGAGCGGTTAGAATTATGCACACTCTTAATCATATTTCTTACTCGATGTTATAGTATGAATTTTTTTTTTCTTCGTTTTGACAAGGCTGTAACCAATCTTCATATATTGCAGTATTTGGTGCTATTGCCTTGTAAACGTTACCAGGGAGTAGTGCTTGTAAATTGTAATAACAGCAGCAATTTTACAAGACTAGCTGTTTTGTATTTGTTGATTTGGCCAAGTGTCAATACAAACTTCCTCTTCTTTTTCATTTTTTATTTTTACACGGATCTACTTAGTGATCAACTCCTTAATCCTTATACTACACTTCCTTTCTTTATAATTGGTTTGTTTTCTTCCCCTCTCATGTTTAATTCACTTCATATTTAGGAAATGTGACAACTTTATCTAAATCGGTGAATAATTTGAACGTATCAAATTGGTATGAGTACGTTTATCAATTTTAGATGGATCGAGCATACCGTATGATAAGGTTTGATTTTGTTAAACCAAATGAGAAAGTGACTCAAGTAATACACTAATCACAGTCCACAAAACAATCACTATCGTTGTATTCTTTGTTATACGAAGTACAGCAATTATAAACTGTACTTAATTGTAATGTAGCTGGATTGATTGTGCTCCCACTAGCCATTTTACTACTTTATTTAAAATAAATAAAAATCAGTACTTTAATATTAGGGGGAATAACTATGATTTGGAGAATCGAGAATCCTAAGTTTTATAATAATTACTCGTGGATCACTTTCCTCTCTTTTTCTCTTTTCAATATCAAAACTCTACTCTATCCGTTCTTAAATTACATTCGTAGTCCTCTATATTAAATGCTAAAAGAATGAATGTAACTTAAGGACGGAGAGAGTACTATTTTTTAACTTTAAAATTTACACCATATTCTTTTGATTCATGCTTAACGAATTGAATAGTGAGTACAACTTATGAGATACGTTCTTTTATTTCGAATAGTATGTTCATTCAGGATCATGCTAGATTGCTTGTCATCATCCTTAGCCGTATTATATCTACAAGATAGCTTAAAAAATCTCCTTTGCCCAAGATCAATGGGCGTAGAAGTAATATTCTTTTGAAGATTTGGAATCGCATCATAATGAATGCTAGAGCTGGCAAAAAGTCGTGTCGTGTCGTGTTCGTGTTTGATCTTGTGTCAATTTCGTGTTATTCATAAAATTTATCAAAAACTATGTAAAATGTAAGATAATTGCATAATTTGACCACTTTATCTAAATGGGTCGTGTTCGAGTTGATTTCGTGTCGTGTTGACTTCATGTTTTCTCTCACTAACTTCGTGTTCGTGTCACGCCAGTTTAGACCATATTATTTTATATTGTTCACTTATATAAAATTTTGTGCTATAGACTCATAGTAAACCAAATCTTCGATTGAAATAATACCTTATATAATCGTATAGATTGTATACCGTGAATAGTTGAGAAGATTATACATCATCTACCCTCCATTCATTTTTTTTTTCTTCTTTTTTTTTTTTTGAATAAGTCTACCCTCCATTCATTTCTAACGAGCAATGTGGGTTTTTTTTTTTTTAAATAAATTTTATTTTTATATCTTGTACAATTGACTAAACAAGGACCAGTTGTGAGTAGCGACTGATATTTCCTTGGCAAATAATGGACAAATTAAATGACATTAACTTTGGAGGTTGTATTGTTTAATGTTGCTACTTGATTTGTGGGAGCAAAGACTTAGCATCACAAGATAATTGCCAAAAATGTCAAGCCAACTAAAAAAGCCAGGAAAATATCATATTCATATAGGAAAGTCTTGGCATCACAAGATATGTGCCAAAATTGTCAAGCCAACTAAACTTGATCGACAGTAAATTCTTCGAACTTTAAACGCCTCACGCTCGGGTGTTACACAACAAGTTGAAGGTGACAACAGCAACTTACAAAAGGGCAAAAGACGACCCGTGATTTAATGAATTACTTGACAAATTTAACACATTATACAAGTTGAGCCAACAATCGCGTCTACACTCCATAATACATTCAGACTGATATTTGACAAATTGTTTCCGGTTTTTTGGCTGGAACAAATAAGATAAGACTACTTAAGGTCAGAAACAAACATTTATATGAAGGGCAAATTCCACTTCTTGCTTTGAAGTGAACTCTTGAAGACAGTTCATTTGGCCAAGAGGAGAGTACAAAATACAACCGAAAAACAGGCCATTGCCGTGTGAAAAGCCAAAGAAAAGTAGAGGATCAGGAAGCAGCTGGATAATAAGATTTAGATACAGGGTCTGCATACATCAGCATAGTAGCACTTGGATTTCGTCTCCAGCACTTAGGCTCTTACACAGCAGTTGAAGTAGCTGAGGAAGCTCTTTCTCGGCTGAAATTAAAGAAAAAAAATGTAAATAAATGATTGATAAATTTATAGATGAAGAGGTTGATTTTTAAGAACCAAGTCCAGCACCACAAACATGAACATTATTATAAGCATCAAAACATATGGTCTGCGGTCTTGGTCTTTCCTTTCTTGTTATCTTGTACATAAACGATTTAATACTAACAGAAATCAAATATAGATTTTAGTTCATCAACGACGGATACCACAGTTTCCCACTATCACAAATGAATTTTTTATGCAAAAACCCTTAAAAAATCTTGTACCAGATCCGATCTTATTAATGATGACAAAATAGCTGATCTACATGCAGCATTAACAATTGATAATTTGATATAGACACTTGTTAGCATAGTCCAAATGAACATAAGATTGCCAAGGTGATGCAAAATCTCATTTAAGCAATGCGAAAACATCATAACAAGCAAGAGCCACATATACTTGAATCAAATTTATGCAGAGCACGACTGCATGAGACTTCTGAATCCACATATGCTGGGAAGAAATCCAATTAACTAGTACAAATCATGTGAGATAATAGTTGCCATCTTGCCAATACAAAACACATGAAGTAACATGTTTGTGTTTTAAAACTGTGATTCCCTCATTCATCGGGTACAGTCACATGACAATTGGGTCACTGATCATAACTCAACAAGGACCATGCTTTTGTAGTTAATATACCAACCAGCTCTCAAGAAAATCATTCACAAAAAAGGGTTAGATTTAGGCACACCACTAAACCCCACGGCCCAAACCCACTATTTACACATTGCCTTTAATTCTTTATTAATTATTGGAGGCCAGTCAGGCCACCATTATGGCATTACCTACGGGTTTCACGGTTATATACCAGAGCAAACAATAACCTTGACATTCAAAGTAAATTTAAACTACAATTTGTCACGTAAAAAAGATTGAAGCATATCAAACACCAAAGAATCACCAAATCGGGACGCATTATTGTCAAATATATGCATGCATGATGAAATAATGGCGGGTTTTTTTGCTGCAAAATGTGAATCTCTACATTCAATATAATGCCAAAGTATTTTCTTTTTTATTGCTCCAAGTTGCATACTCAAGGCCCACATGCTTGTACTGTTTTACAGTTATTGATTAAGGTCATTAAGCATCCAACCATATGAATGCCATTTTCATGCTAAGTTTCTTTAATGATGGAACTGTCCTCTTAACTGATCACTCCCGTTCAAGAAGCCACATCAAAATATATTATAATTAGACACCTTTTTGTAATATAAAAGTAGATAAACGAACATTAATGCCAAAAAGTATGATCCAGCAAGTCTAAACAACTCGGACAGATGCATGTTAAAACGACTAGATAAAGCCATTTGAGCAAAATCTTACAGTTGGAGAGTGGTTTTGATTGAAATGCTGCTGTTCGTCATCGTTTACTTTGTTGTTAGCAGGAGCAGTTGGATTGATGAAATCTTCTTCATTACCCAAACTAGCCCTTGAAGGATCTCTTTTATTTTGTTTCCTCATTTCCCTGATTTTTGAGAAATCAAGGGAGTAATCTGGCAATGGTCCCTTCTGGTCCCAATCTCCGAATTGTGGCACAGATAACCAGGGCGCATTCCTCTGATCAAGAAAATAATTTCTGATGTCAAATTTGCAACGATCAAGACTATAATCATATTCTAATGAATAATTAAATTTAAAGAATTTTTAACAATGATGAACCCTATGTTTTAATATCCTCAAGAAACCTTAAAAGCATAAAAAGAAGTTTCAGCAATTTAGCCAACATGTCCCAACAACCCACAAACATCAGTGCTCCATATAAATAAATACAAAGGGAGACAGAAGAAAAAAGAATCACAAGTTCAGTACAGATTTTAATGATATCAGGAGAAAAAAAAACTTGGAAAGGCACAATAATAACATATCCCTATGATACATTGATACATAACTTTGTTTCATAGTATCAAAGCAAATTCCAATGTTTCATAGTTCATCAACATTTTACTTGTTGCAATAGAATCACAGATTCACAGAGTGACAAATAGCATACAAATATACAATGATCATGTTAGGTAAATGGTTTTCGCTTTTCAGCTATTACATACATTTGGGCAAACAACAAACAAATTTAAAATGGTTTGTTAGCAAGCTGACAAACTCGACAAAAATGAGTATAGAGAAAGAATAGCTTATTGTAGCGGCATTTGATCCAAAAAAGTTAGTCAATTTGCATTGTATTGTACTCCATATTACACTAACACCTAACAACTAAGTTTACCAAATATCTTTATAAACGGCCAACACTACAAGTTAACTTAAAGAACCAATATAGATAGACAAGATAGCCAATACAAATAGCTTAACTAGCCAACAATTAATTGCCAAAGTAAGCTGCAATACATAATATTATTCAAGTAGGAGCGGTTGAAGTAATGTATTCTCAATAGCCGAAAGAAAAACATAACACAACTCATCAAAACCATAACATAAACTATTCAGAATCTAACACCCTATTACGGCGATCTTTTCTACAATAATCCACAAATTCATTTATTTATTTAATTAAGCAACATCAGCGCGTTTATTCTTAATGTTAGTGAAGTAATTTTACCGCGACTTATACATGCCATCATAAATTATTTCTAGCATTTATTCCTCACACGACATAGGGAGGTAGGAATATAATTAAGAGACGGGGGGAGTACTAACTTATATGAACTCATCGAGTTCGCCATTCTACACTTTGAATTTAAAAATTTAGAGACAACCACCCATTATAAGAGTTGAGATTTTTTATCTTTTGAAAAAGAAAAGTCAATTTTTTCGAACGAGTAGCACAGTCATGTATACTGTGACACAGCTAAGCTAATTTTG